TAGATTTTGTTAATTAGAAGAAGTAATTAGTTAGATCAGTGAAGATCAACTAATGACTTTGGTTTTGATCAGTGAAGATCAACCAAAGTCAAATCTTCACCATTTTTCATCAATATTGTTTAATTGTTTAATTGTTCAATTTTTCTAATAATTTGTTAATTAAATAAAAATATATAATATCTATTAAATTTGTGTATAATGACCAGTGAAGACCAAATAATTGTGGTGCTAAATTGTCCTGGTCAAATGACGGTCAGTGAAGACCGTATTTGACCCTTTACATTTTAACTAAAATAGTCAAAGTTGCGTCTTGTGATTTAATTAAATAGTCAGTGAAGACTAAAGATTAACTAATCAATTAAATTGTGCTCAAAAGAAACAAATTCAACCCCTTTTTAATTTACATGTAATGTTTTCGTTACATTTGGTGGCCGTGTGTGAGGGTGAATTTGGTGAACTAATTTTCGTGCAAATCTATTCTCCAATTTAATTCGAACCATAAAATGACCTTCAAATAAACGTTAAAATCGTGGTCTCAATGTTACTTTAATGAGAAATAAAAAAAACGAACAATTAACAAATCAACAACTTACAAATCAACAACTTACAAATCAACAATTAACAAATCAACCATCAAATAATAAACCATTATAAATAATAAAAATTAAAAGATCAGCTAATCAATAATCAAAAATTAATAATAATCAATTAACAATAACATATTAATAATTAATCAAATCAATTTGTATTTAAATCAAATAATTAACACACTTTACAGATTTCCATCTATCCTTTAATTACGAAAGTAAGTCTTCTTTTTTGGTATCTTTTCTCTTCTTTTTTTTAATATCGCTACTAAGGTCAGTGAAGACCAATCTTTTAGCACGATTGTTTTTTTATCTTGTTCATTCTGACAATTGATTTTCAGCGAAATCGTTAAACGTGAGGTCAGTGAAGACCCTTGCTTCTTGATTGTTTATTCTCTCCTTAGACTATAAAATGAAAAATCCTTAACTGTCAGTGAAGACGTTATTCTCTCAATACATTCAATTATCACAAATTATCATCATATTATCATACAATTAACATTTAACATATTACTTTATCAATTATGAATTATTACTCTGATCAATTTGGATTTAATCCAATCGAATTTAACCCAACAATTAACACTATTAATTCAAGCCATGTCCTGAACAATCATATCACCATTGAGCCATTCAGAGGTGATAATGAAGATTTGATTGATTGGTTGATAAACTTTGAATTAGCTTCTAGTGCTTTAGGTCTTGGTGCTATTGAGATGTTCAAGATTATTCCCTTTTATTTGCAAGGTTCAGCTCGCAAATGGTACAACGTTACCTGTAGTCCTCATTCTTTCCGAAAATGCCTAAAACTTATGATGAATTAAGAAATAGAATGATCTCAGACCTTTGCCCAGCTGATTATCAAGCTCATCTCTCTCATCAATTTCATTATAGCAAACAAGCGTCTAATCAGCTAACGACTAACTTTGTCTATCAGATTCAAGAATTATGTTTGAGAATGAATAAAAAGATGCCAGAAAAGCTCATGATAATCTTCATCATTGAAAGACTTTTACCTCAAGCTAAATTCATAATAACATTACAAAATCCTCAAACATTAACAGAACTTATTAATGCTGCTAAATTAGTAGATAAAACCGTCAACTCAAGAATAAAGCACAATGAAAATGAAAATTATTTGAATTCAAATCAATTACCATTTAAAATCAACCAAATCAATGAGAAACCCAACTCTTCAGTTTCTTCACTTTTTCCAATTCCACATTCAAATCTAATTCATAAAGAAATCAAATTAAATAATAAGAAAGTCCAAGCAATGTTCGATACAGGTTCCGGTTTAACTCTAATCAGTAAAAATCTAGTTGATCGACTGAATTTAAACTTACAACCATACCTTGCACCTCCTCCTTTAGCTGTTAACAATAGCCCAGTTAAAATACTTGGACAAGTCAAAGTTAGAATTAAAATTTGTGACGACAAATCAGCAGTTGCAATATCAACAATTGTCCAAGTTACTGAATATTTGCCACATCAATTCGATGCTTTAATTGGTCAAGATCTAATGACAAAAGCTAATCTTATAATTGATTGTGCAGCTAAAACAATTCATATTAATAATTCAAATTTGATTAATCTCACGAGTTTACCAAGTGCTAAACATTCGTTAGAGATCGAAAGGGAAACTGAAATTATTGAAAATCTTGATCAGATCGATTCGAATCAATGCAAATCCAATGAACAGAATGAACAAGAGGAAAATTTCCCCTTTTTAGAATTAGTTGATCCTCTTGAAATACCACTAGCTGAAGAGATACCAAAATTGATTGACAAAACTGCTCACGTTAATTATCCTAATCTTTACTTGGAATCAAACTCAATTAAATGTTTATCTTCACATTTTTACTCTTCACCTTACCCGAGTTGTAATCCTACACTTTCATATTATCAACCCTATCACTATACGAAAGATAAAATCATCAACTTAAGCTGTCATAAACCTAACGATAATGTTTTCAACTGGTTGGTACAAAGAAGTGCCGACGAAATCGATAACAAATAAATTCTATGATGCCCTTCTTGAAATATGGAATTCAACCCTTTGCTTTGGCAGAGACTGCTCAAATTTAAGTCGACGGAAATGTTGTAATATTATACAATATCAATTGATTGATAAAACCTGAACAGAAAACAAACCTCTTCAATTAGATCCCACTAGCGATAAATTCATTTTTCTTTATAAAATAATAGATTTTGTTAATTAGAAGAAGTAATTAGTTAGATCAGTGAAGATCAACTAATGACTTTGGTTTTGATCAGTGAAGATCAACCAAAGTCAAATCTTCACCATTTTTCATCAATATTGTTTAATTGTTTAATTGTTCAATTTTCTAATAATTTGTTAATTAAATAAAATATATAATATCTATTAAATTTGTGTATAATGACCAGTGAAGACCAAATAATTGTGGTGCTAAATTGTCCTGGTCAAATGACGGTCAGTGAAGACCGTATTTGACCCTTTACATTTTAACTAAAATAGTCAAAGTTGCGTCTTGTGATTTAATTAAATAGTCAGTGAAGACTAAAGATTAACTAATCAATTAAATTGTGCTCAAAAGAAACAAATTCAACCCCTTTTTAATTTACATGTAATGTTTTCGTTACAGTGCCTGTACTACAAACTCTGTAGGTAGCCTAGTTTGTCTTTAATCTTCATGCGAAAAATCGTGAATCGTAATAATTGTTTGTGATGTTTGTGATTATCAATCAATGTTGAAGCAAAATTGTCACAACAATTAGAATCATTAATCATGAAACAAACTGAGAAACATAAAAGAGCCAAACATTTGTGATGATGATAAATGACAATTGATTAATATGAATGGAAAGCTTGAATTTTACCGATAAACAATCAAGAAGAAATCGAAATTACAATCAATGGGAAATTAACAATTAAGGTAAAAACTCTTGTGACCCTAATGGACAACGGGATCTCAATTGGTCAACCAGTTAAATCAAAATGTACACCAAATTTACGTAAACATATTCAGATTATTATCCATCTACTGGTGACCTGTCTTTGTGGAGGTCAAATTTACTCGATTGCTATTGATTATATGTCCGGTGAGATAACGTCAAAGGTTAACTTGACCACTCCGAATCAAATTACTTTGCCAAGTGTTTCCTTGTGTTTCCCTTTTCTTGATTTAATCAATTTAACCAAAGCTTCCGCTCTTGACGATAAATTAGATGATCTTTTATTAGAGCGGCCATTTTATGATGACCTCGGAACCCACAGAGACATGTTCACCTCAATCTATTCAATTTTGGGCAATCTAACGGTAAACCAGTTAAATAATCTTCTTAAAGATATTGACAATTTAATTCCAAAGATCAAATTAACTCCGACCTTTCGACGATTGGGTGACACCAAATCGGGCTATTATTTGGTAAAGGACAATTCTACTTGTGAGGTCACTCGTTATTCTAGACAACCGTTATTTTGCTTGACCATTAATTGTTACAATTCATCGGGTGGTCCGATTAAATTTTCCCGTCACGAAATATTTCAACCTCCTTACGACGGTCAAATGATGGCCATTGATTTAAATAATAACATATCGACCATTACAACTTCAACTACAATCATGTTTTCAGAATTTGGTAAACTAATTCAGGGCTCAGGTCAAACAGCATATCGAATAGGTTTCAATGGTCAACCACCGGGCATTTACATCGTGACCTTTAGTAAAATTGTCAACATCTTAAGCCAAGAAAACTATGAAGTCTCTTGTCGGAACTATTCAAATTATGGTTACTCTTCAAGGTTCCACTTTATTGACGCTTGTCTCAACAATTTGACCGCTTCATCCATAGGGTCAGTCTTTTATGGGACAATTCAAGCTTTAAATTACTCTCAGGCCAATCTAAGGAATGGTTATTATCAGTATTATGGTGAATATCTTACCCCTAATATAACAGAGCGAAATCGCCTAAGGAAATATTTTAAATTCTGTCGTCAGCATTGTAATCATATCGCTGATAAGCCTGATTGTGAGGAGGAAATTTATTCACCACAAGGCTATCGAACCTTAACTGATGAAGATCAAAACGGAGTTTATGTTATCCTTTTACGAGCACCAACAGCACCTTTCGAGATAAATCAATATTTTCCCGAATATACACTTCTCGATTTGATAATTTATCTTGCAAGTAGTTTAAATTTCTGGTTTGGTTTGTCGTTGATTAGTTTATCGGAAAAGTTTCTCAATTGCTATTGTGGTTTATTTACACGGCCCACAAAGAGTAGATCAGCGAAAATTAATATCGCAACCAAATCAAATAATAATAATTCACCAATTGATCAAAATCTCGGATACCAGAGTAAAGTTGCAACTAATAGACGTGCAAGAGTATCAAGAGTTAAAAGTATCAATCAACAATTACCAACAGTTTACTGGTGATAGAAAATCAAAATCAATCAATTTTTATGATTTACTATTAAAAATATTACATCAAATTAGTTGTAACTAATAAATGTAACTGGATTAAACTGTAATTTCTTTGTGGTGTTATTAAAGTGACGATGATTTGAAATTATTTTTGGCTTCTCTTAAAGCGGCCATTACTTTGATTGGATCTGTAAGTTTGGCAAATTGTTGGACAGATGATTGATTAACTCGCATAAAAGGGTTGATTAACTTTTCCTCTCCAATCGTTGATGGAATGGTTGTTTCACAATTTGATCTTCTTTCCTAATAAATATTAATATAAATATAAATAGAGAAATATGATTAAAAATCAATCGATACTATCAATACAATCAACTTACTCTCGACCAATTTAGTTTATTTTCAATATCTTGGTTTGAAGGTTCAACGTTTTTCGCAAAAACCAAATTAGATACAGTATATTCATGGCCACAATATACTTTCTGCAATCAAGAGGCATGAAAATCACAATTAGAATGATAGAATATGTAAATTAAGTTAATCAACCACATGAATTTCTGACTTACAGTTGAATCTGGTAATGAACCAAGTTTCTTGATTAGAGCTTCATACATTTGATCAGCTGTTCCTTCAAAAAATTTCCCACAACCAGCAAGGAAAAGAGTATCACCTAATTGTTTTTTCATGTGATTAGAATTTTGATTAAAATTAGATTAATGGGAAGAAAGGAAAATAAAATTTACCTGTAAAAACAGCTCCATCGGATTCACCTGAAGGCGGAACAACATGATAACAAATGTGCCCACTGGTGTGACAAGGAGTATAAAGACAATTAACCAGCAATTTTCCAATTGTAAATGAATCACCATGATTAACTTTGTTAGTTAAACCACCAATCCTTTCATCATAACCACAAACGGTTAAACCTGAAGCCTTGGAAACTAAATCAACATTACCACCGGCATGATCCCAGTGATGGTGTGTAGTTAATACGGTTGTCAATTGAACACCCGAATCACTGACCGTTTTCAAAACCTTCTCAGGTTCAACTGGATCAACAATGGCCGCTTTATTAGTCTCCTTGTCGATAATCAGGTACATATAATTGTCGGAAAGAGCGGATAAAATTTTCACCTCCATTTGATTACCAAAAACAGTAGAGGTTAAACTATGTGATGAATGAATACCAACCAGACCACGGAGAGTTTTAACAGAAGAATAGATTAAACCTAATACAATAAATGGAACAGAGAACAATTAATTAATCTATAGGAAAAGAATTAGTCACAATTAAATTGAAAATAATCAAAAATTACGTTGTAACATGTTAGGTAAACAAGCGAGTAATCAGCTTACTCTTTGTCTATATCCTGGTAAATATTTTTTTCTGGAAAAAAAAGAAAACAAACAATTGAATCAACTAACCAACTAATCAATCGAGACAATTAACATGTACGAATAGTAGAACAATTAAACGAAACTGTAATTAAACTGTTCCAATGGAAATTACAATTGGAATCAACGAGCAACAATTAAGAAAAACAAAAGATAAACAACAAATGGAAACATGTGTTCACATGAGCAGAGAGTTTGAAGAGAAAAAAAAGAAAGAGAAAGAGAAAGGAAACAATCAAGTTAATTCAATTACGATGAGAATAGAATTAAAATTGAATGTTAATTGTTGAGAAAAAAATAATAATAAAATTAAACTTAATCAGAACAATAATAACCACGATTATTGTACTTTGTAAAGAGGGTCAAGAGTTTTTTTTCGTTCAGGTGAAAATCAACTAATTGTTTCTAAATTGTTTAATCGATAAGTTGAATTGAAATTACAATTTATTGATTACATTTACAAATAAACTTTTCTCATTGGAATTATCTAATTATCTCTATCTATTCATTATTATTACGGTTATTATTACCTTTAAATTACTTTTACCCCTTGGTGATTTACATAATGGTAAGACGATGATTTAAATTGTTGTTGTTGTTGTTTTTTAATCATCAATGTGAAAAACTAAATCAAAACAAATACTGAACATGGTGATGATAAATTATTTACTATCACCTATGGTAATATAACATTGAACAGGTTAATTGTTTGAGTGTTTAAAGTTTTTTTCCCAATTTTCAATTACAACGATTTATTAATAGTAAAAAAAAAGTTAAATTGGTCAAAGTTGATCATGATGAAATTGTTAATTAGTGCGTCTCGAAAATTTAACTCATTTCGTAACAATCGATGGGTCAAATTAACTTTATTCATTATCCTGATGACCGGAATGGTCTGGCAGGTCTATCGGATTAACGTTTTGTACCTGAGATTTGATACCGTTGTTGATATTCAGGTTGATCGGCAGTTTTTGATTCAATTACCTGCGTTGACCATTTGTTTGGACATTGATCTGAAACTGTTGGAACCCTTGAAGCGCATTTATCCCGATAAAGTGATCAGTGAAAATTTAACGATCCAAGAGAGATACTTATTGTATCGATCAGCGTCCATTGATAAATTGTTTCACCATTCGATGATACTTGATGATGTTAGTATTTCTTGTCTATTAATTTGTAGTCAAGATTCACGATTTACCAATGGGTCAACTTGTATAGATGTTCCGTGTTCCGAGTATTCAAAAGTTCGAGAGTCAATTGAATGGTCTCGAAATAATGCTCTTCGTCGGTGTTACACTTATTTCCATTGGAATAGTTCGGGTATCCCATTTTTAGAGGCTCTAAACGGGGAACGGGATTTTATTAACTTTAATCTAACGAAAAGCGGTGAGACTCCGGTCACTGCGATTTTCACCATGCACCCTGGTTCATATGTTCCTTGGACTGAGGATGAAGATTTTTCCTCTTTCAATATTGGCCTAATGTCAATTGTGTCTATTAATTATCAATTGACTCGGATTAAACTGCTCGAAGCTCCATATCAAACTAATTGTCAAATTTATTCACAATTTGGTGTCTCTGGTTGGGTTGGTTGTATGTACAAGTGTAAAGAGCGTCTCAATGAACGAGCTTTCAAAAGTTGGCCTTTAGATGTACCTGGAGGACGTGATGTTCAACTGTCATTCGTTTCAGAGGAGATACGTCTAAATGACACCCATATGACTCATAAGATTAATCGAGAGTGTCACTTGGAGTGTTCAAGAAAACAATGTGACTTTAATGAGTACGCACATTATGTCAAGTATGTACAATACAATTTGGGCGGAGGTCCAAGTGGATCTGGAGGTGGTACTGGTCAGCCGAGCTATTTGACCCGCGTTTACATTCATCGGCCATTTAATTTTGACGTAGTTTATAAACATCGACCAGCCATTGATTTTATTGAATATTTTAGTTACGTTGGATCGGCAATTGGCCTTTGGTTTGGTTTCTCCTGTTTAACTCTGTTTAATTTTGCGGAAAAATTTTTCAAACAATTAGTTTATGGTAAACCAAATCCTCCACCGCCATCACAACCACCACAGCCCCCATACCCCACAATCCATAGCTCACATGTAAAGACACCACCAGAGGATCAACCACCAAGCGCTCTAATGGTTCAAACACCTAAATCCAAAAGACTTGGATCCACAGGTTTACCTACACCGAAAAAGATCAGAAAACGACCTCCGAACATTAGATTATCTCCTCCTCGAATAAACAATTTAATCTCACCAATAAGCACCAATTTATCACCGACCTACAATAAGTCCATTTTTACCGAAACTCCTGATGATGTTACTCGATACAATAATAATGGCCCATTAACCAGCTAAAAATTTGACCTTCACTATCTAATTGTAGCTAATTTAGTAATTAGATTGAAATTTTTATATTTAATTATCTAGTTTATTGAATCACAATTAAACAATGAAAGAAAATATCAATTGATACTTTATCATTTTCCAAAATAATGTAAAATGAAAAGGATTAACCATTAAATTGATTAATTTTCATTCTCATTTATTGTTGATTGTCAATTCTTTGATTAAACTTGATCAATATTATTAATTGATTTAGAAATACTCATATTCAGAAAGTTAATTGTTCAATTGTTGTTTATAGATTTTGATGAGAAAAAAATAATAAAATAGTTCTAAATGAAATGGAAAAGTTAATTAATTCTTCAGGTTAATTGGGGGATCATTCAGATAATAACTATCAACACATTTATTATTACGAAATCAACGATTGTCATTTGAATTGTCCATCAAAATCACCTTGATAAAGGTCAAATATCGTCGCATGTTTATCATGTAGCTCATTAACAGGTAGATAAAGTTAATTAGTTTCCAATAAGATTTTCATTTTCTAACCTCATTAATGGAAAAAAGAAATAGATAAGATCCATTAGAACTGAATTAATATTTTCCAAGCATTTACCTGAACAATAGGTTTACAATATTCGAGCGTAAATAACATGTCGAAGTCCATTACAAAGATCTTTCCATTCAGTTTTTTTTCTTTCTCCTTCCAATTCCCTGTAAATGAATAATAATGACCATGATAATGATGAAGATAATTACTACAGGTAATTTCCCACATAGGTCACACTGTGAACAGAAAAAAGGTAATAAACAAAAAATCTCAATCAATATGAAATCAAGAATAATAAACAACCTTATACATGGAAATTGTGATATTCAGATAAACACGAACATGGTAACAAATAATTTTGGCCTTTGTTTTGTACTCCACAACAAATGAGTGTCTTAATCAGTACACATTAAGTAATACAAAACAATCAGTTAACTTTTGTATTAATAAGTTTCAATGTTTCAAAAATATAAACAATTCCAGGCAAACAATCAATCATGGAATTGATTTGAAATTTGTTTTTCTTCATGTTAATTGTGCTCTCTGGTCAAGGAGTGTTAATCATCATGTTGTCATCAACTAATTATTTCAAAACAATTGAAGAAGCTTCAGTTAAAAGCTTCAAGGAAATCGTCCAAACTAATCATCATCATACCAATCGAAAGGAGGTAAATCAATCGTTTTTAAATGATCCATCGACAATTGAACCTAATGGTTTGAGGCCACTTGAATGTTATCGCTTTTTATATAACGTTTTGACCATCATTGGCTTCTTATGGCAGGTTTATCGGATTAATTACATTTACTTGCAATATGATACAGTGGTTAACATAATTATCGGTAAAGCAGATCACTATTATATGCCTGGAGTTACCGTTTGCCTGGATTATAATATGGAAGATAAGTCAACCTTTACTCGTCTCTATCCAGATCGTGTTTTAGATCATTATTCACCTGATGAATTGAGGCTTATTTTCTTGGAAACACCGATCAGAATTATTGCTCGAGAAGGTCAGACTGTCGGTCAAGTTTCGATAAATTGTACCGTTAAGTGTTCTCGTGATCGTAGGTTTATAAAACCAAGTGAAACCCTTTGGTCATCTTCATCTTCTTCCGATTCAAAAGCATTTTGTGTCAATGTTCCTTGTTCAGTTTATTCTAAACCTCGAGAGACACTTTCTTGGGCTCGAAATAATGTTATCCGTCGATGTACAACTTATTTCACTTGGAATTCAACATCAAGTCCACTACAAGAATATCGTGAAGATGGACGTGAGCTTATTGAATTTTCAGTTTCCTCCAAAGGATCAGCTGTGGTCATTTTCGCCATGCACTCTGGTTGTAACATACCTTGGACAGAAAGGGAAGACTTTTCCTCCCTGGACATTGATCGATACTCTCAGTTCACTATGGACTATTCAATAATCATATTTCGTCTCCTTCAACCTCCCTACAAGACTAATTGTTCCGATTATTCAGAATATGGTGTTTTAGGTCGAACCGCTTGTATCCAAGAGTGTGAAAAGAGCCTATTCCTTAAAGAACGCGGAACTTGGCCTCTTGATGTACCAGCTCCAGCATTCAATACATCTCTAGCCTTTTTCCCTTCAGGTTTTGGTTTACGAAGAGAAAGGGCATTCCTCTGAAAACCTTGGACACATGCTCAAAAAAATGCGCTCAACCCGAGTGTTCATCTTATATTGTCACCTTTTCGACAAAGAATCAAAATTTCATCACAAGTCGCAGAAATCAAACCAACTATAATGCAAAGATTTACGTTAATCGCCCTCGTGCCTACGGTGTGAAATATATTCATATTCCAGCGATTGATTTTATCGCATATTTTACTTACATTGGAGGATCAATATCACTTTGGTTTGGATTATCTTTGCTCTCAATTTTTGACAGATTACCAACTAATTACACAGGTAAATATCGGAAAACAATGAATCGATGACTTATTCAAACTTACATGTAATGAAATGATTTTTTTTTGCTTTTTAACATGAAGGACAAGGAACATCGAAACGTGTACCCGCTGTCGATAAAATGGACTCACGATATTGGCCACAAACCTCAAAGTATACCAATGGTTTCTATTCTGGATGCTCAAATCTAATCACAAAATTACCTGCGGGGAGCTGGAAGACATTATCCTCACCTTTTGAACTTGCACCTCGAAATTCAGTGAAAGATTCATCGAATCCCATTTTACTCTCAATAATTTCATCAAATGTAACCACTGGTGGTAAAAAACGCTCATTAACAAAAGTTGTATTTGACAGCTTTAAAACAAATCGAATCATCTATTAATTGAATTCAATTATTGAAATATTTATGATCAAAATTTTTCTTCATATTAAAATCGATTAAATAATAATAATCTCTTAATTTCTCATGAATACACATTCATTGTCTTTGAGATTGTTTCAGGAATTTGCTCTTGAAACGGTAGACATTGAAACTAATGCGGAAACTTTTCCCAATGAAATCGATAACAATGTCAATCATCCAGGAAGACGAGAGTAAATTAATTGTTTACTTCGTGTTTTCGTTTTTGATCAATAATCCAAAGAGGTTAAACAATGGACACTTAAGCAAGACTATTCATCAAACTGATCATTAATGCAAGAATAATTCGCAATTAGTTTACATTTGTTTGCACAATTAAGTTACTCTCATTTGCTATTATTGTATTAGCTTCAACAACGAGATGAAAAAGTTGACCAATTTCGTCCCAAAGGCTAAGGCCTTATCAAAGTTCAGTAAAATCTTTGGCGATATCGTGAATCCTTTCGATGGTACTAATCATCTAGATTTTCTCGAAAAATTTGGCAAAAAGGTTTAGTTTGTCTTGGTGGATATTCACGATTAACTAATTATCCTTCGAGTCATTTCATTTTCTCATCATTGATTGAGATCGCCAATTGGATTTTAGTGAGTCGACTTATCATATTATCGATAACTTCTGATTATATGTTATCCTTTTATCTTGGTGACATTTTCTATGGGACCAAAACGCGTTTTCACATGAATGCTGTCATTGCGATTGGTTCGATTATGCTTGGAGTTTCACGGACATTCTCGTACTGGTTAGAACAATTGGATCAGATGAAATGGTTAAGTTATTTTGCTGATATTCAGAAACATGGATTTCGAGCCGATATGCTCCATATTTCGCAAGGGGACTTGAAAATACTTCGAAATCGAATTTACCTGGGGAGACAGTTTTTCACCTTTTTTACACCCATAACAATCCTAGTTCTTGGATTTATATTCACTTATTCAATTATTAACAATCCAGTTTCTTACTCATCACCCAGTCGACTTGCGTTTATCCTTTTATGGACAGTGTCCACTTTTATTGCTGCAGTTGGAGCGGTTATTTCGGTTTTATGGCTTATTGTTCACATTTACGTATTAATTGTTTACACAATCTTACGACTGGATTATGTTGATCGACTTGCTAGTGGACTACTTAAATTACCAGTTATTCCCGTTAATTTAATTCGTTCATTGGTTAGTGAACAAATTCAACTGTTTAATGCAATAGATGCAATTGATAGTCAACTGCGAAACTTTTTTTTCTTTGGCTACAACTTTGCTGCTTTTGGGACGGATTTTCTTTTGTATGTGGCCTTTACTATGCCGAAGGACAATTTGTTCAACAATATTCTTGTCTTTGGTCTTGGGGTCGAGGTAACATTTATAATTTGTATTATCGTTTATCTTTCAGGGACCATTCATATCAGGGTAAGTATTTAATTCATTTATTCAAGTACAGTCAACTACCAGATCATGAGACTCCTGCCCAATATATTATTCTTACAAAACAAGTGAGAACGAGAAAAAGAAAGAGGGTCGGGTCACTCACTCTCAGGCATTTGAGAAAAGTAGTACCATTATCTGGTCGTCCTGCTATCTGGTTGTTGACTGTATTATAAATATTACCTCTCTAGCAACAAAAATACTAGTGTCACATAATACCAATACAATATAACAACTTGTATTAACAAGTATCATTTTTTTTCTCACTCCTCCTAGTATTACACAACGCTTTCTTCAACCTTTTCTGACTCTTGAGAGATAAAATCTTAATTTATTAATTTTAATCAAAGAGTAATGACCTTGATTTTTTAAATGTAATTTCAATCTTTTGCACCAGAATCGACCTGGCTACAGAGTCACACAAGTGTCTTCGATCATTGAATAGTATCAATAGATAGCTCTACCGGGAATTGTGCACAACTTGTTTTTGTTGACTGGAGTGTAGCAAAACTTTAGTCCCGAATACCCATATACATGTTGTCACAAAAAAAATGACGAAGTCCCGGTGAAGAGAGTGAGACTCGTTGGCGATGACTTGCCTTTTTTGAATCAAATATTTTCATTATTTCTTACCCCTTTACTAGTACTACAGGGCAATTCAGCTTCTTTTACCGATTTTTTTTGCGATTTTCTCAGCAACTAAGTGTCATAGAGACATGATACTTGAGTGGTATGAGTTTGAGCGATACTTGTTTGTCATATCAAAAGATCAAGGTCATTCAGGTCATGGGTGAAATAACGCGTTTCAAGGTCATCTGAAGGTAATTCAACAAAAAAGAATATTCAGTTATACTGCTGACAAGTTTTGAGGTTTCTATGAGCTTTGCTTTGCACGTTAAGATAAATTAATTGAATAGAAGATTTTCAACAGTTATTCAAATAAACTCAAATATCTCAAGATCTGTAACAACGATCTCTAAACTCATTTTTCAGGGTTAAAAAATGTGAAGAATAACTGTAGCACCTTCAGATGACCTTGAAACGCGTTATTTCACCCATGACCTGAATGACCTTGATCTTTTGATATGACAAACAAGTATCGCTCAAACTCATACCACTCAAGTATCATGTCTCTATGACACTTAGTTGCTGAGAAAATCGCAAAAAAAATCGGTAAAAGAAGCTGAATTGCCCTGTATTATAATGTGTTCTACCCACTTTCATGGTTGTTGGCTACCTAACTGATGCCAACTCCAACATCTAAATAAAGATGAAGATGAGGATGAAATGAAAAATGTAATTTTAGATTAGAGAGGGATCTCATCCCAAAAACAACAACATGAATAAAATAAAATGAGTAAAAAGTGAATATTGTTTTAAAAGGTGAACTCAAAGGCAATAAGCCTTTATTTGGTCCGTCGAGCCGGATAACGGCAAGTGATGAGTGCATTAATATTAGTTAATAAAAATTAATGGCTGGACTTCGGATTAGGTCCGCACGTTTAGAGACCTGAAATTTTTTGTACATATAGCTCATGTCAAACTACATATTATGTGCGAGTTTGTATATGCGGAAAGATCTAGTTCCTGAGATACAGGGCTTCAAAGTTGGATTTCGCCATAGAGCTCTATGGGTAAAAATGAAGTTTTCGTATATGAATACTAATGTCTTTTACCTCTTGGTTTTTATATATGTTATACCTTATGGTATGAAGTATTATTATGAAAAAAATTAAGACTCTAGCTACAACGGGTGAGTACTTATAGTGTGTTATTTATGAGACTTTATTCGTCTTTTACTATAATTAATGAACCACTGTATATAGAAGTACTAAATTTAGTTGAACAGTGCTTCTCTATGTAATTTTTTTACAGAGACAATGTATATAAACGTCATGTATATTTTTAAAATTTTTTGACCCAAACCAGTACCGGTATATAACGAATACAAAAACTGACATGTTGGCAGATTCAACGCGCACTCTAAAACGCAGGTGGGCGGAGTCTAAAAGTTTGAATTTTTACATCGTTCTGTTTTATTTACCGTTATAAAAGTTTCTTTGTTAATTATTTTTCACCCTTTACTCTAATTACAAATATGACCCGTGTCAACCTTAACCCATTCTCTGCAATGCTGATCGCTTCTTTCCTCTATCGTCTTCTTCTAATGGTTGTCAGAGAAAACCGTGTTAATGCCCGCCGCTTCATCATCACCAACTGTCATCGACTATTCACTGGGTTCGGTTCAACGACTATGGCAGAAAGACGTCTTTTTATCGACCCTGCTAATGGTGCCCATTTAATCCCGCTACGTGGTGATGATGATCCAGAAGAACAGGAGCAGGACAGTGATCTACAAGATAATACTGTGTCTTCATCGATTGACCCACTTATCAACCTTTACCTCAACAACATGATCCTGAAAATACCAGTCACAAAGAAAGAGAGAATTTAACAAGCAACGGTGAAAGTTCAGATGAAAACGAAGACCCGGAAATCAGGTATTTGTCAAGGGCCAGAAGATTCTTTGGTAGAATGCGTCGAACTATGGCCTTGGGTGCTGCTCCAGTTATCTCTGCGATTGCAACATTAGAAGAGGCCAGAAGTGTTTTCCGTCAATTGCGAACAAGAAGAAACAACCGTCACCCTTTATATTGGCCGTGAGATTAGGACGTTTCATAAGTATGGACATATCTCAAACAAATGAAACAATCGCCCAGTGGACAGATCGTATGATAGGTCAAATAACATATACACCAGCATATGTTGGATTTCTTTTATCTCTCGTTGAATTAACGAACCGCTATCCCAGGCTAATGAGAGTCACTTTAGCGATTCGAAAATCCATAAAAATCGTCGTTATTTTGATGCTTTTAGATTAGATGACGAGTTAGTTAACTTTTGGGAGCGAAATTAATCATTATATTCATTTTAATTAAGAAAATGTAAACATAAAAGGTTTTGAATAAAGGGGAAAAATATATTAACAATAAATAAATTAAATAAATCCATCAAAAAAATCTCCATTAAATTTCCATTCGAATGATGTGTCACATTGTATTAATAATTGCTCGTATTTTATTGTCAAAAAAATTGTCTATTAAATGATGTGTCACATGGGGTGAATCTTGTGTACTTTCACTACTACTGAGTTAATTGTAATATATTCGCATATACTATTTATTCACTAGCGTTTTAAAAAAGACTGCCGAATCCGGCTTTCGACGGACCAAATTGTTGTAAACTTATGTGACCTCTAGTTCACCTTTTAAAAGAATTCACAATTTATTCATTTTGTTCATGTTAATGTTGATGGGATAAGATCCCCACTCTAACTAATACAATTTCAGTTATATTTTTATCATCATCTTCTTTATCTTCATCCTCATCTCCATCATCATCATCTTCGTCATCCTCATCTTCATATTTTTTTAGAGTTACCAATGTTGGTTGCCAACACTATCAATATAAAGAACAAGTGCAACCTGATGAACCTAAAGCTTCATTACCACGAAGAGTTAACAATGTGACCTTACCTAATCTACCGACTCATATCGCATACTTTAGTGGTAAATCAATGAAAATGTTATCGAATGGTTTGAGAACTCCGAAACGGTAGGTCGCAATTATGGTTGAAATGCCAATAATCAAGGTCATTTGGTGGTCACAATCTATTCAAATTTAAAAAACCAAAATGTACCTAAATCAAAAATGTTTTTTGACTCTTACGCTCTTTCTTAAGAGCAAATTGATGAAAGTTGAATTAAAAGGATTTCGCGTCAAAACCGATATATCTCTGCAACTAAAATGTCAAGAAGTTGTAAACTCGTATGGAGCCTAATGATTGCAACTGAATTCGATTGTGACCACCAAATGACCTTGATATTTTAATATGACAATTGAGTATGGCCCAAACTACCATAACTCGAGTATGGGGTCTAGACACTCAAAAACAAAATAGTTATTTGAGAAAAACTTGTTGGAAACTTGGTGAAATGCCCTGTATAAAAAATCAGGAACGGAATCAGGTACCTTGACAACAATCACCTTCCCATTTATGGTATCGAATTCGTGGTCGTAAACAAAATCACCATGTGTCATCTTAAGGGAACAACTAATCGACACAAAGCTGGAGCACTTAGATCAACACAGTTAGCAGCCGGCGGACGATAAAAACAAATTTCTACTGGAATAGCATCACACTTCCCGTAAGAAGAAATTGTTTCATCACAAACAGCCTTGAAAGTTTCGACAGAAGCATGGCATAGCGGTATTTCGACTTGATCCATATTAATCCTCACGAATTCGGTGATTGAGCTCAATTCGATAAACTTTGGAGAACATTGGATATAATTTTTAAAAGATTCAAGATCTTCGAATGAATCTTCACTTGGTTTCAAATACCAATAGTTGAAACAAAGAACATTGTAGAAAGAAAACTTTTTATGACGACTCACGACACTCATGTTTGATGACAAAATTAAAACAAAATTGTTACAAATTAATAATTAATTGAGAAATATTTGAGAGAATAAAATAGATTAAAATTTAATTTATATCTCTCTCTACCTTTACTTATTAAATGACGATTAAATTATCATTCAATGTTGTAATAATTGTTTTTATTGTTGATTTTGTTATTGCTGCTTTTTTATTGTTGTTGAAAGAGAGAGAAATTATCTAATCGATTACTGAATAATCGCCCGTCTCTAAGCCCAGTACTCCTAATATGAAGATCGAGAAAAATTGATGCAAGGACGTATTTTACCTTGCTCGATAGGTAATATTTATAATACAATTAATTACTGTAATCATGTATCAATAATTAATTGGATTAATATTTAAATGACTATTATTCTCAAGACACATCAAACATATCACACATTTCATTTGATAATTGAGAAAAGTATCAACAATTTAACAGAGATTGAAAATCGTCCAAATTTTAAGGTAATCATCATAACGAATGATAAAACTATTGATATTAGATTTGTTAATTAAAATATTCTTATTCCCAAAGGTTCTGAGTTTACTTGAACGCATTGGTGGTCCAGTTATCGGAATTTACATCGGTGATATGTTCCCGTTAACATATTTTCAATTTGTTACCGTGAGTTAGTTTGCATGTTAAATTTATTAACAATATTACTTAACCACAATTTAATTGTCTCTTTTCTCTTGCCAAATTAGTTTCTTTTAGAAAATGCAAGTTTGATGTTACTTTTAGCTGGAACTATGGCGAATATCCTAAAATAATTATATTCCTTCGGATAAGAGCCATGAAATTTAACTTTCATGGCACCAAAACTTTACACAATTGCATATCTGACTAAATGCATCTTAAATATGGCAGAACAGTCGGAATTATTTAGAAAGTTTGTGAAGTGTTATCACTGACCTTTTCCTAGCAGAATGACCTTGATATTGAAATATGACAATTAAGTATCGTTGAAACTCCAATAGCTCGATCAATTGGCAGTCAAGACAGCTCAAAATTTTCCATTAGAGTTGAAAAATTAAACAGAGATTATAGTGAGACAGAGATCTTTTTAATTAAATAATACCAATCAATAGAATGCAAATTGAGTAAATGAAAGAATTAAAAAGTTGACAAATTGGTGAAAATTGAATGTAAGTTATTGATTAGATATCAACAGTTAATTGTTAATTAATGCGTATATAGTAATATTAATTCAATTAAAATGAAATTCAATCTAATAGTTGTGTTGTGTTGATAAGTATTAACCTTAATAATAATTGTGAAAATCTATCGATGAAATATAAGAAACCGACTTAATGAAATCGCAATAGGTTATGATGATTATACTAATGCAAAGACGAAAGCAAATCGATTACAATTATTGTTGATTGTAATTGTAATTAAATGGAATCAGTTGATAATTTCAGCTTGTAATGTTTTGATTATCGAGGAAAATCGTAAATGTGTGATGGATCGACCAACTTTGAATGTCTCTGTTAAGAATGAAAAAGGTCATTATTAGTAAATTTCATCGATTAGAGGTTCAATCAATTGTAATGAAAGATAATTAAAGTGCATAAATTTTTTCAACTTACACTCTCTGTAGGTAGATTTGAATACGAGACGGGGTATTGATTACCATGATCCAAGGTCATAGTTCCATGCATCAAGGGTTTCGTATTGTCTGAATCATGGAATCGTCTTTCTGTTCCAAAATTGGGAATCGATTTGTTCAAAGCAAGAGTACCCGTTTGAGAGGCTAAAGCAAATTCAAAGTTTGGCTTTGTTTCCGCCTCTAATTGAGCTTTTCTAACATAAACGAAGGCGAAAACTATTACGATAATGATAATTGCAACGGCGATGATGATTGATAAGATAGAGACAAAATCTCGATAATCACCAAACTGTCCATTTCCAGCTGGATCAAAAATTGAACCAAAATTAGCAAAATTGTCGCGCTGTGATCGACTTGTTCTTGTCTTAATTATTGGACTAGGATCTGAAACACCATTCTCATTTGATGCCGTCAGGTAAACGGTGTAAACAGTATCAGGATTTAGAGCAGATAAGGTATATTCACCAATCTCTTTACTGTCAACGAAAAAATCCATTTCCCGCCAAGAAGAATCATCTCCTTCTTTAAAGTGTAAATCGAGATTTTGAATTTGCTTGTTTGCAGCGTTAGAGGGTAATGAGTAGCCTAAGGTGATCGAGTCAATTGTAGCCGTTGAAACGAATAATCGAGGTGATGATGGAACATCGCCAGCTAAAGTTTCAACGGTAACTTCTTGACTTTCTGGTCCAGTTCCAGCAGAATTGTAGGATTTCACAATGATTGAATATTTGGTTCCTTTGAGCAGAGATGTGAGAAAGAATTCATGATGGGAAGAATTAGATTCGCCCACATAAACCGTTCGGAATGAATGTGGTGTCTTGTAATCATCGAAAAGTCGATAACCAACATAAAATCCGATCAATTTTCCATTCCAAGTGTTTTTCGGTGGTGATCTCCAAGCTAATCGAGCCGTTGTCGGGCCTCTTGAGACAACGACGAGATCAACGGGTGCACCTGTGGGTTCCTCTTCTCCAGTAGAGAATGAAATCTTAGCCGATGGTACTCCAAGGCCAACTTCGTTGATCGCAATTATAGTTGATTCATAACTACTTCCTGGTTCCAAGTCTTTGATAAAGTAAAGAGTTAACGAAGATGAAATGTTGACTTCATTGAGACGATCGTTAACACCGGTTGATGAAACTTTCCAATATCTAATCAAATAGCTGAGAATTGATGTTTTGCTTTCTGGTGGCCTGGACCAAGAGACACTGACAGTTCGAGACCAAACTTGTTGAACAGCGAAATTCGTAGGTGCAGGTGGAGGTTCAATTATGGTTACTCGAATTTTCCTCTCATCTTTTCCAAACGAATTTTCAGCAAAACAATGGTAAAGTCCATCATCTTTCACATCAGCTGATGAAACGGTCATGATACTTTTAGTTCCTTCTTTATTTGGAGCATCGGTGATTGAATATCTCGAGGGATCGACTTTATCAATTGGAGTTGAATCTTTGAACCATTTGATTGTCACTGGTTGATCTCCATCGGCTGAACAAGTTAATTCCAAGAGATTTCCCTTTTTCGCCGAAACTGCAACATTTTTCTCCTTGAATTCAGCAGGAACTGTAAACAATTAAGAAAAAGTGATAGAAAACATTAGAAAAGAGAAACAATCAAGTCTTTTCGACTGCAAAGAAAAAACAAAATTAACTTGAGAGAGGCGCTTTCATGACAATCTATTCAAAACCTTCATTAGTAAAAGTAATCATCTGAAAGAAACAAGAATTACCAACAACATTAATTGTGATTAATTTAATCAAAGGAGAACCATTATCGTTCTCAGCTTTGCATTCATATTTCCCTGAATTGGATAAAGAGATTGGATTAAAAGTTAAAGAGGAAGAATAATAATCAGAGGTAATTAAAAGTTCATCAAGATTATTTTTAAATCTCCAGCTGATTTTAGGAATCGGATAACCAAAAGCTGAACATGAAATGTTTACTTTCTGTCCAGAGACAAGATCAGCATCTTGAGGCTCATGAACCCAATCAACTGGAACTGTTGACACAAAAGGAAAAACAACAATTAGAACAATTTAATTAAACTGATGATGATAATCAACCTTTCATCAAAAGAGTCGAAGTGAATGAATCAGTTCCAATGTGATTACGAGCAAGACAAGTATAATTTCCGATGTGATCTCTTTTCATATTTCTCAGTTCCAATAATGAGCCCATATCATGATTACGAATAACATTATCATGATTCTGGTTGATTGGTTGTCCATCTTTTAACCATTCAAAGTGAATTGGTTTTTCACCATCAAGGGCATTGCAGAAAATAGCAAGAAGTGGTTGATTCAATTGTATTTCATTTGGGAAGGTAAAAGGTTGAACTTTAGGTTGACCTGAACAAGTGAAAAAAAATAGTCTTCATTAGTTAATAAGATATCGATGAGAAATCAAATTTTCGTACTTGCCTATTGCATTAACGCTGAAAAGCAAAGTTAATTGTATCAAAAGGATTGATAACATTTCGCGAGACTAATCAATCGTTTAAGATGAAGGATAATTTAAATTAAGTGATTTGTAAGACAATTAATAATGAACCATTTCGATTCATAGACAAGAGATTCATTAAACCGCCTTTTTTAAAACTTGACGTAAGAAAACATTTGTTACAAATGCGAGAATCAAGTTTTGATTAGAGTTAATTATTGTGCTCCATTCAAAGATGATTAAATGTTAGAGTCTAATTCTCACCCGAAATTGTTACCATAATTGATTTAGTGATGGATCCTAATTCGTTCACAGCTAAGCATTCATAGGAACCTTCATCTTGTTTGTTTGCATTTTTCAATGACAATTTTGAACCGATTGGTGATTCCCTTGATCTAACTGGATTAATAAAAGTAAATGAGTTATAAACTAGTGATTAAAAGTTTCTCAACAATTACTTTGTCCAGTTTTCTTTATCCATTGTATTTGAGGAGTAGGAAAGCCTTCAGCTTGACAGATCAGATCAATGTTTGAACCATGGTGAGCTTTGTAATCAGCGGATGAAGTGTTAATCCATACTGGCGGCCCTTTAGTAATATGAAACAATTAACAAACTATCAATATAAATTATCAGAATAATGTTGACAATCTAAGTATTTACCTTTGACAATCAATGGAGCTGAAAATTTATCTTCACCAAACATATTTCGTGCAATACAAGTGTAATTACCAGAAAATTGAACTGAAACCGATTGAATGACCAATCCAAATGCACTGGTAATCGGTTCAATCGTAACTTTTAAACCTTCTTGATGGTCAATCGGTTCATTATTTCGTAGCCATTGATATGTTATCGGTGGTGTACCAATTTCAGCTAAACAATAAACCAAAGATGATCTTCCAATAACTGGACTATGTGGAAAGTTGAATGGAGTTATTCTTGGCGGATCTGTAAGAGAAAATTCAATTCAATGTTTTCTCAGAATAACGATAATTTAAGTTAGAAATTACCTTGACAAGTTATTGAGCAACTGAGGACGAAAAAAACTATTAGTTGATGAAACATTTTGACAGTACAACCTAATCAACAATCGAGTTGGAAATCAGATCGAATTGAGGAAATTTTAACAACCAATCAGTTGAAAATACTAAATGACATAAGCTTGACCGCGATCTATGAAAATTTGATAAAAAATAATAGAAAAATAATTAAAAGAATTGGGAGATCGATACCATGACGAATCGCGATCGTTAATAGAAAAGTTGAATGAAGAGTTTTGTAGACCACATGAGCACCATGATAGATATCGAAGATTAATCATTGTTTACCCTGAACTTTGAGATCAAATTCTGACCATAAATCAGGTTTGATTCCATTAGAAACGAAGCAAGCATATTTTCCAACGAGATTACGGTTGATATTATGAATAGTTAATTTTCCGTGGGAGTTATTGATCTTAATCGATGGTTTCGGATTATCCTCAAGATTTGCCCAAATTGAATCTATTAAAATGAATCAAATTAGTCTTAATTCAGTTCAATATGATATAATGATAACTTACTTTTATATATTTTCCAATAAACTTTAGCCTTTGGGTAACCAGAGGCTGAACAGCTGATGGTCACTGTTTGGTTTACATTGGATTTCACACTTTTAGGCTTCTCAATCCAATTAGGTGCTCCTAAGATACATAAAAATATTCATTAATTAAAAAACTCAATAAAAAGTTGGAAAAAAAAATCAATCACCTTCAACAAAAAGTTCAGCGGTATAAGAATCGTGTCCAAATCTATTGAACATTTTGCACGAATAATTTCCAGAATGAGTCGATTGAATTGATTCGATTATTAGGATTGATGGATCTTCGTGTGATTTAATTCGGACAAATGAAGAATCTCCAATTTCTTTTCCATCTTTAAACCAATTCACTTGGAGTGGTGGTGAACCATAGAGACTTTGACAAGTGAATGAAGTTTTACCTCCAATCACTGGTTTAATTGCGGCAACAAATGGATTCACTTTTGGTACTAAAAGACATGATAAGATAACAAAGAAAAGAACAGAATTAATCACAATTGAATATTTGATAACTTGATCTACTCACTGTCTTGTCCATAACTTTCCTGGTTGATGTAAAACAAGACTACGAGGATGAACTGGACAAACATGCTGTCCAACTAGACGGTCAGTGGTGTTTTTGATGACCAACAAAGTAAACAAAAGGATTACCTCGACACTGACAGAAGACTTTGCTTTGAATTGAATAAAAAGCGCCGAGTTCAAGCTTAATATTCACATTGCCTTGAATAGAAATATAAAATTCAGTCCAAAGATCTGAAGAGATTCCGTTTGAAACTGAGCCAATACTTTCCATGATGTCAGTTGATGATTCGAGTCATATTGGTGATAATCAATCCACCATCAAACTGCTTAATACCGAATTACGACCAATCAAGTTTATTATTGAATCTAAAAGAATCAATAAGAATCAATGAAAATGGAATCGATATTATGTTTAAAATTACCTTTAAATTTTTTCCATTGCACTTTGGTTCTAGGGCAATCTAAGACTCGGAAATCAGAATCGGACTCAGAATTGTTTCACCGAGATTTAATCGTAAATAGTTGAGGTTTTCATTCCAATGAGGAAACAATATACAATCCAACTATTCACAATTAACAAGATGAGATTATCAACATGAGAAATTAATTCTGTCAACCATTTCATCGTATAAGAATCATGACCAAATCTATTGAACATTTTACTATTATAATTTCCCCCCAAATGAGTCAAAGAAATCAAACCAATAATCAACATCAATGACTCTTGATTCTATTCTAATTAATGATGAATACTGCACGTCTTTATACTATTTAGAAGTAAAAAGTTCCGATCCTGAACCTGAATTTTGACATGTAAGTCAAGTTTTGCCTCCAAGCATCAGTTTAATAATTGAAAAATGGAGCAACTTTTGGGTCTGGAAAAGAAAAAAAGAAACAATTAAAGTAACAGAATATTAGTTAATTTTTAGCATCATTTACTTACTTTATATTCTAAAACTACTTTGTTATCAATAGAAAAAAGTTATGAAGAACTAATCATTTTAACTCAACGAAAATTTAGACAAAAAGATCAAAATAATATTGGAAAATCTTGATGATAATATTTCCAATGTTTCCAATAGACCTAAAAGCGCCGATTTCAAGAGATATGAATAAAGATTTTACCCTCGATTGAAATATCAAATTCTGACCAAAGATCAGGTTTCAATCCGTTTGATATTGAACATCCATATCGTCCATTGGTCGATCTTGTTACATTTCGAATCGTTAATTTATCTCCTAATTGTTGCATCTTTGATTCGGAAAAGCCAGATGATCCAATGTTTAACCAAGTTAATCCTATGAATGGAAAGAAAATCAAATGATTCAAATTAGAACGGAAAAAGAAATTGAGATTATGTCTCTGGTTTACCTTCAAGTCTCTTCCATTGTACCTTAGGTTTAGGATATCCAGAGACAAGACAATTAACTGTAATTGTTTCACCGTAATGAGATTTAATATCCTTTGGTTTCTCAATCCAATTGGGAGATCCTAATCAAATAGAAGACAATATTTATTAAGATGTTCCAATATCAATACAATTGTTGTTTCCTAATTTACCTTCAACAACAAGTTCAGTTGTGTAAGAATCATGACCAAACCTATTGGTTATTTTGCAAGTGTAATTTCCTGAGTGACTCGATTTGATTGAGTCGATAATTAATAAAGACGAATCTTCAATGTTCCTAATTCTGATTTCCGAAGAATCAAAAATCTCTTTTCCATCTTTGAACCAAGTTATTTGAAGAGGAGATGATCCGGAAAGACTTTGACAAGTGAATGAAGTCTTACCTCCAATCACTGGTTTAATAGCTTGAGCAAAAGGATTCACCTTTGGACCTAATAAAGAGTACAAACTTTGTTTAGAAATAAATTGTTTCGAAAACATTCAACTTACTTTCGAGTCCATGAACTGTTTTAATCGACAGTATCACAAGAAACACCCCAACAAACATGATTCAAAGCTCTTGTCAACACTAGACGTTGATTTAGATTCCTGTTCCTGGTCAGACAAACACTTCGATAATACAAACCATAACATTTATGATAAAAAGGCATAAAAGCGCCGATTTCAAGTGATAATAACAAGAATTACAACTTTACCCTGAATAGAAACATCAAATTCAGCCCAAAGATCAGGTTTTATCCCATTCGAAATTGAACAACCAAATCGACCATTTAGATCACGATTGACATTTGAGATGATCAAATCATCGCCTAATTGTTTAATATTATATTCAGAAATATAATCTGATGGAAGATTAAACCAGGATGAATCTAAGAAAATAATCAACAAACAGATAATAATGATGGAGTCTTCAAATTTTCATATTCCCACAAATTCAAAGTTACCTTTGAATCTCCTCCATTGAACTTTGGGTTTAGGGTAACCGGAGACAAGACAATTAATTTTGATCGTTTCGCCGTAATTAGATTTTATATCTGTAGGTTTCTCAATCCAATTAGGTGATCCTAGGAAAAAGAGTAATTTTCATTTAGTAAACTAATGTATCAAGTCTAAATACTCAACCTTCAACAATGAGTTCAGTAGAGTAAGAATCATGTCCAAATCTATTGGATATTTTACAAGTGTAGTTTCCAGAATGAGTTGATTTAACTGATTCGATTATTAGTACTGATGGATCTTCATGTGATTTAATTCGGACAAATGAAGAATCTCCAATTTCTTTTCCATCTTTATACCAATTCACTTGGAGTGGTGGTGAACCATAGAGACTTTGACAAGTGAATGAAGTTTTACCTCCAACCACTGGCTTGACTAAGGATGAAAATGGAGTGACCTTTGGAGCTGTAAGAATTTAGAGTCAATTAGTAGGTATTAATAAATCAATATTGATTGAATATTCACCTTCTTGTCCATAAGATGAGCTGAAAAATAATATTGTAACGATAAAATAGCACAAAGACATTTCGAAAACAAATTCTATGTTACCTTTCATTTGGATTATAAACATTTGAATGAATTGATGACTAGAAATGATGAAAATCTTTGTAAATGGTCATCAAAGCGCCGATTTTAAGTAAGAATTGATTCAATAGACTTTATCATAAATAGAAATACAAAATTGGGCCCAAAGATTTGAGGAAATTTCGTTTGGAACGGAGCATTCAGATTTACCGTTACAAACTTAATTTTCGTTTAAAACAAACAATCGACCATCTAATTACTTGGAAATGTAAATAAATCACATGTTCGATGTTTCAATTGTTTCAACTGAATAGAAAATAGAAAATTTAAAAAGAAAAATTAATAAATTCTAAAGTTAATTCGACAATGAATGAATGAATGATGTTTCAAACTCCAATTTAATCATCAAAGAGTCCATATCAATATCAATACGAACAATTAAGAACTTAATCAATTATCATTAATCAAATTTGCGAACTTACTCTAATGTCCATCAGTGCAAAAGAGCAAAAAAAATGTTCGAAGGGAAAAGTTTTGAATGGAACGAAAATCGCGCCTCTGGTCGTTTCCATGGAAACTGGTGTGGGTTTCAAATGACTCATTCGGAGATCTTTAAACCAAAACATTTAAAGATTAAAGGTTTGGTTGATGTTTCTAATTGTGAATTTGTTTTAATTATTATTTTTGTTTTCCATTTTAATTGTCTAGTTTTACCTCTTTTTTTTCTAATAGAAAGTGTAATGTTTATCTCCAATTATGTCTTCAATTATTGACAATGATGATGTTGCTGTAAATAATAATAAGGGAGATACAATTAGTCGACAAGATAAATGTGAATTAATTTCAAATTCAGATTCTGGTTGTATAACCAGTAGTAGAAATTATTTGAAAATTGTTAAAGCCATTTATCCATTTAAAGGTGCCAATAATGATGAACTGTGCTTCCAAAAAGATGATTTAATTATATTAACACAAACACCTGAAGGTGGTTGGTATGAAGGAACTCACCTTGCTAAAAGGATCACTGGTTGGTTTCCAGCGGGTTATGTTACTCCATTACAACCCGATCATGCACATTCACTTCTTGATCAACAATTTATCGATACATTTAATAAAGATCACAATCTACAATCAAATCGAACCTCAGTAAGTATTGATCCATGGAATGTTTAATGTTGAATGGGTCACACCTTTAAAAGAAAAACAATCGATGGACAATTTTTAATATCTCTAAATAACTTTTTTTCTTTTCTTTTTTCTTTTCTTTTTTCTTTAGGTATTTAGTGATCTAATTGAGACGGAGAAAAATTATGTCGCTGAACTTCAGAATAATATATCAACGTATCTTTTACCTTTACACGAATCTCATATGTATGTTTCTTTACTTTCTCTCTATTGGTTTATCTTGTGTAATTAATGTTTTGTATTATTCAAATTGTTATTTTACTGATTAGATTACCTGATGAGGAGACAAAAATGGCTATCGAAGCTTATGAGAAAGTAATCAAAGTTCATGATACATTTTCTTCTGCTCTTGAAACCGTTCGAGAGGAAAGTAACAAAGATATGAGAATTGGTGGTTGTTTTATGAGTCATGCTTCAGGTATCAAGGAAGCTCATTTCAATTTCTGTTCTATTCATCCTAAATTTGTTCATTTAATTGAGAAACAAACTGAAAAGGTTTGCTCCCTGTTGAAAGAGACACTGGACAGTAATAATCAATCTCAGCCTAACACCAATTACCTTATTCTACTCACAAGTGGACTCAGTTTAACTTTTCGACATCTTGATAAATATCCGTCTTACCTTCAAGAATTACAAAGGTACACCAATGATGCTCATCCTGATCGTGGGGACATTCAACGAGCTGGTTTTGTTTTCCGTGATCTGGTCTCTTCTTGTCTTCAACTTCGCCGACAAAAAGAGATGGAACTTGAAGTTATGCTTGGTAATGTTCGTTCCTGGCCTACAACTGGTGAACCGATTGGTGATTTAGGTCCAGTCTCTCATATGGGCCCAGTTACTGTTTTACAATCACCATCATCATCAGAAACTGTGAAAAAAGATCGCTACCTTGTACTTTTTCCTACATGTTTGGTACTTCTCTCAGTCTCTGATGAGATGACATCTTTTGTCTATGAAGACAAACTTTACCTGGTCAATGTAACATTACCTCGTCTTCCTGACATTCAGTCTACAAAGACGATTTTTCAACTTCTTGTTGCTGATCCAAATTCCGAGGAAACGGGTAAATACGTTTTATCCTGTGTTAACCCGGAAGATATAAGAAAATGGATCAGTATGATGCACAAATGTAAAAGTAAACTTGAATCCTCAAAGTGCTTGGAAACACCAATGAAGGAAGTTCGAGCTAGTCCAAGTCACCATCCCATTCAAGCACCTGAAAGCCCTTTATCATCAGCACTTACCGATAATAATCGAAGTAAATATTGGGCATGGAAAAGTTTATTACCCCATCCACCAAATCGTACATCAAGTTCTAGTAGTGATTTTGATGGGAACAATACGTTAACTCGAGACTCATTGAATAAGGTCAACACTAATGAGGATGCCAAACAAATGAACGATATGGCAATTCTACAAGTAATCGAAGCCTATTGTCAAGGTAATCGTTCAAAGTTAACCGGAACTCAGATTATTCAACAAAATCGTGATAATGATAAACATACTCTCAACAAAACAAATAACCATCAAAATGACATTTCGATTGATGGTAAACATGGATCCGAGTTATCGACTATTTTAAAAGAGATACGAAATTTAAAGACCGAAATGGAATCAATTACTTGTTGCCTGAAAAAAGAGACACAATCACGTAAAAGATTAGCGGCCAAAGTGGATTCACTTGCATCCATCATCTTCAAATAATTATAATCGTCAAACTAATTTAGTCAAAAATTAAACTCTTTTAGTTAAAATAGCAGATAATTTTAATCAACTTTCACTTTTTCTATGAGATTTTTTCATTCTAAATTTCCTGCCTGTTTATACAAATTATATACTAATTATCACTTTAACTTTAATCTTGAACTTGATAGTCGCTTCAAGGTTATTTGAAATTTATTGACAATTAACTAATTATTTATGCATATAAATTACCTAACAAATTATAAACATGTAACTTAAACTGGAAAGTAACTTCTCAACTTATTAATTTCACCAGTTAAATTACCTGAATTTTTATTTCTTTTGTTTTAATACTACAGAAAGAGAATCCAATCAATAAAAAAATTTCCTTTTCTATAAAACAATTCGATTCAATTTCGAAACAATCAAACTTTTACCTTCGATTACATCAACTACAATATACTTGAAATTTGTAGATTTGAATGTAAAAAAATTCAAACAAAAGTCAACTAATTAGTTGCTTGTCAAATCAATTTACTCACCTTTGAGTCCATAGTTTGAAGACGACAAAATGTACAATCATACGAAAGGTGAACATAAATTTTGATTGACATTTGATTTCGATAATGTGATAATTTTGCTTAATATCGAAAACTGTACAATTAAGACCTAAAAGCGCCGATTTCAAGAGAGATTGAACAAAATGTTTGATAAACTTTACCTTCGATTGTTACATCAAATTCAGACCAAAGATCGGGATTTATACCGTTCGATGCAGCACATCCATATTTACCATTGGCAGATCGAGAAGCGTTTGAAATTATTAGTTTATCATTTGATTGTTTAATATTAATCATCAATCTATTGTCAATGTTTGTCCAAGTTGCACCTGAAAATACAAGAAATTGAACATTATTAGAAATGAGATCAGGACTGAACTTTTAAACTCATACCTTGTAGTCTCTTCCATTGAATTCTTGATATTGGAAAACCTGAGACAAGACAATTAACTTTAATTGTTTCACCATGATGAGATTTAATATCTCTCGGTTTTTCAATCCAATTGGGTGGACCTAAATAGACAATAACAAGAACAGTTAAAGATGTGACCAAGAAGAAATTTCAATCAGAATTTTACCTTCAACAACAAGTTCAGTTGTATAAGAATCATGACCAAACCTATTGGACATTTTACAAGTATAATTTCCCGAATGACTTGAAGTAATCGAATCAATAATCAACATCGATGGATCATTAGATGATTGGATTCTAACGAAAGATGAATCTTGTAAAACTGTTCCATCCTTTATCCATGTAACATAAAGAGGTGAAGTACCAGATGAACTTTGACATGACAATGATGTTTTACCTGAGAGCTTAGGTTTTATCAATGGAGCAAAAGGAGCCACTTTTGGAGCTAAGAATAAATGAAGAAATTAGAAATTAACAATTCGGATAAATCGATTTACCAATTACTAACCTTCTTGTCCATAGCTTAATCCAATTGATACGATAAATAACCAAACCAAAGTCAAAGACATTGTGATTAGCAACAATTTAGATTACCCGAGAGCAGATTATTACAGAATGATAACAATTATGAACCTCGAAAATATTATTTACACATTAGATGAAAAGAAACATAAAAGCGCCGATTTCAAGCAAAATTTAAAGTCCAATTTGTATAAACTTTACCTTCAATTGTTACATCAAATTCAGACCAAAGATCTGGTTTGATTCCATTTGATACTGAACAACCATATCGACCATTCTCATTACGAGTGACATTGGAAATAATCAATTTATGGTTAAATTGTTGCAGATTAGAGTGAATAAAATTATCACCAGCAATAGTTTTCCATGATGAATCTAAGAGATAATAGTATTAATAATATTGGATCAACGAAAATGAGTCGAAACAAATTTACCCTCAAGTCTTTTCCATTGAACCTTAGGTTTTGGATGTCCAGAGACAAGACAATTAATTGTAATTGTTTCACCATGATGAGATTTTATGTTCTGAGGTTTCTCAATCCAATTTGGAGAGCCTTTAATATGAATTTAAAATTGTCAGTTAAACTAAATCAATCATAAATATCCAATGATTACCTTCAACAAGAAGATGAGCTGTATATGAATCTTGGCCATAAGAATTTGATATCTTGCAAGTATAATTTCCTGAATGACTTGATTGTATTGTTGTGATAATTAACATAGAACCATCTTCATTGGTTCGAATTCGTATTGTTTGTGAATCAAGTAATTGTTTTCCATCTTTAAACCATGTAATCTGAAGTGGAGGTGAACCATAAAGACTTTGACAAGCGAATGATGTTTTACCACCGATCACTGGTTTTACTATTGATGAGAATGGAGCAACTTTAGGACCTAAATATTAACGAGAGGCCAAAAAGGAAAACATTAGAATCATTTTCGATACTGATTGTGGTGAATATACTTACTTTCTTGTCCATCTACAGTGAGAATTAAACTGAAAGTGGAAATAATTGTTAACAATCGAAGCATCTTTTCATATAATATGGACATTTCGATATTATTAATAATATTACAGAATATGATTTAAGATGATTGTTAGATTGTGACTAATGTTAAAGAGAAGTGAATTAACCAATGGTAAAGGTTTTTCTCATGATGAAAGCGCCAAGTTTCAAGTAAAAAGAATGGAAAAAGTTTAAAAGAAAAGTTCACCTTCAATGGTCAAGTTAAATTCTGTCCAAAGATTAGGTTCTAATCCATTTGAAATTGAACAACCAAAGATTCCGGAATCATTTCGATTTACTTTAGAAATTTTTAATCTGTTATCCTCAATTTTGATTCGATCATTGAATGAATTCAATTCTATCCAAGAAGAACCTTAATAAGAAAAGAGAAGTTTTCAAAAAGTTAATTAACATACACAATTAGATTTCTATACTAACCTTGTAGTCTTTTCCATTGAGTCTTTGGTTCAGGATAACCTGATGCTGCACATCTCATGATAACTGATTGAGATAATTTAAATTTCATACTTGAAGGTTTATTAATCCAATTAGGAGGTCCTAAGGTTATGGGAAAATATAAATTAATATCAATTAAGTAAAACAAAATACAAACAATCAGCATGATCAACAATTTACCTTCAACCAAAAGTTGAGTACTTTGAGAATCGTGTCCATACCTATTGGTTATCCTACAAGTATAATTACCAGAATGGGTTGATTGAATTGTATCGATTATTAATGTTGACACTTCACCATTTGTTAAAACTTTAATTGCTGGTAAATCTTCAATTTGTTTATCATCTTTCAACCAATTTATTTGCAATGGTGTTGACCCAGTAAGAGATTGACAAGTGAATGAAGTCTTACCTCCGATCACTGGTTTAACTAAAGATGTGAATGGAGCTACTTTTGGACCTTTTGTTCAAAATTTAGATGATACAATTAATTGGAAATTAATACGACTAAAAATGATATAATCAATACTTACTTTGAAATCCATTAACTTGATGACTTTGGAAAAGATAAAAAGTTAGTAAAACACCAAACATTTTGCTAATAAAAGGTAAATACATGATGATCGTAATCATTTGCAATGATCTGTGTTGATTGTTTACTATTTTCATCTAATTTCTTGGGATCAAATGAGATTATGTCAAAAATATAAAGCGCCAATTCCAAGTTATCAAGAGAAATTTAAAGAAATACCTTCAACAATCATTTCAAATTCTGTCCATAGATCAGGTTGAATACCATTCGAGGCTGAACATCCATATTTTCCTTGATGATGTTGAGAAATATTGATAATTTTCAAATTGTTATCGATCTTAATCATATCATTGGAATCAATTGTTTTCCAAGATGAACCTTGATTATTTAAGATGAATAAAAAAATTAGAATTCGAAAGAAGGTCACAATAAATGTTCACCTTTAAATCTTTTCCATTGAATTCTTGGTGATGGATAACCGGAGGCAAGACATTTGATGTCAACTGATTGTCCATATTTCAATTTTAGATTAGTTGGTTTCTCAATCCAATTTGGTGAACCTTTTGATTGTATTATTAAGAAAAACTAACTAATAGTTAAATGCTTAGGTCAAAGAGTTCGAAAGTCATACCTTCAACTAGCAGTTCACTCGAGTAAGAGTCATAACCAAATCTATTTGAGATTTTACATGTATAATTAGCAGAGTGACTTGATTTGATTGAATCAATGATTAACATTGATGAGTCCTCATTATTACGAATCCTGGTTTCTATCGAATCTTGAATTTCTTTGTTATTCTTGAACCAAACAATCTGAAATGGAGATGATCCCGTTAGAGATTGACAAGTGAATGATGTCTTCCCACCGATTACTGGTTTAACTATAGATGAAAATGGAGCTACTTTTGGACCTGAAAATACAAAGATAATCAGATTACCATCGATTTAATTGTTACTTACCAACAATACTTACTCTCTTGTCCATTTACTTGGTTTCTGAATAAACAGAAAACAATCAAAGTGAATAGAAACATTTTGTCCACCAAAACAATTATCAATCACGATTATATTACAAACAAGCTTAAAGTTTCTGTTAATCATATGTTCAATATTTTCTTTGGTCAAATAAGATTATGTCAAAGTAGAAAAGCGCCAATTCCAAGTGAAATTACATAGAAAATAATATTCAACAAATACCTTCAATGGTTATGGAAAATTCTGTCCATAGATCAGGTTGAATACCATTCGAGACAGAGCATCCATATCTACCTTGATTGTTTCGAGTGGAATTGTAAATTTTCAAATGTTGTCCAGAATTGTCGATTTCATAACTAATTGATTCCATTTCAGTCCAAATTGAGCCTAAATTGTGTAAGAATAATAAGAAAATATCAATCATAAATTACTATGAAAATAGCGGATAAAAAATCGTAACAAATTATTTTAAACTAACCAGTTAACTTTTTCCATTGGACTTTAGGTTTCGGGTAACCAGAAACAAGACATTTAACATCAATTAATTGTCCATATTTAACTTTTAAATCATTGGGTTGTTCAATCCAATTAGGTGATCCTGAAAGTATCAATAAAAATAATTTGTAGAAACTTGATTGTTAACAAGAACGAGTTATTTTACCTTCGATTCCAATCAGTATAGATGTAGAATCTTGTCCATAATTGTTACTAATTACACAAGAATAGTTTCCATTGTGTTTAGCAGAAATGGATCAATCACCAATAAAGATGAGTCTCGAGTTAATTGTTCAATCCTGATTGTTTCTGTTTTCATTACAACTTCTCCATCTCTGGACCATTTGAAATTCAAAGGTCTATCGCCAATCTCAGCTGTACAAGCAAAAGATGCTGTTCCTCCTTCCTTGGGTTTAGATAATAAAGATATCTGGCCAGCCTTTGGAGCTATTAAATAGTCAACAAATTAGTCTAATTGAAGATAATCAATGACAATGTACTCACCGTTTTGACAATTAATTGTATTACTACAAGTAAGTAAGACAATGTGAATGATCACAAGGGTTAAAGAATTGATTTGAATCATTTTGCTGTAAGAAAATTTTCTGTTCAAATCAACAACCGATTGAATCTAAATTACATCGATATGAAAAGGCCTCTGCTCAAGTCTCATTTACAAAATTAAACCGCGATCTCTGAATTACCAGAGTACAAACCATTTCCCTTAATATCTTACCAATAATATCAATGATAAATTCATTCCAAAGATTTGGTTCGAATCCATTTGATATCTCACAACCATATTTTCCCTGGAAATTTTTGTTAATCGATTCAATCTTAAACTCATCATGTGAAACTCTGAATATCGACTGATCATCACCTAAAGGAATCCAGTTAGAGCCTGTAAAAGTTCAAAGGGATAAGATTAGAAAACTTTAATCCAATTGATCGAAGCTAAATTAAAGTTACCATCAAATCTTTTCCAAATAACTTTCGGCAAAGGATAACCCGAGGCAGAACATTTCAGAGAAACAGTTTCTTTGTTTTTCGCTTTTATGTTCGGTTGTTGGAATCTCCATGAAGGTGAACCTAATTAACCACAAAAGATGAAATTTGATTAACCTTGAATACGGAAATAAATGTGCTAATTGCTGATTGTTACTCTACCTTCAACAGCGATCTCGATAGAAGGTGAATCAATACCGAACAAATTTTTAACACTACAAGAGTATTTTCCATTAAGATCAGATTTCATTGGTTCTATTTTGAGGATAGACGAATCTCCAAGTTTATCGATCCGAAATGAAGCTTCATTAGTGATTAGTTGATCATCTTTGTACCAATTAAAGTCAAAAGGAGCTTCTCCAGTATCGACCAAACAAGCGACAGCAGTTTTACCTCCATTTTTTGGCTTATGAAGAAAAGACAACCGAGCCTTGGGACCTTTAAAATTCAGTCAATGTAAATACTGTTATTGTCCAAAGAATAGAATAGAATATTTAATTTTGAAGAATAAAAGAAAATGGTGACTTACCCTTTTGACACGAGAATAAATTAGCAAGTAGAACGATGAGAAAAACTTTAAGAATCATTTCCGAGTCTGGTTATATGAAACGTTCAGGAATCAACAATAAGATAGATTAGGTTGTTATTTGTTATTCTCTAGATATTTTTTGGTCTGCGCTTTAATCGAAACACTCGAAACCAATTGGATTCAACCCGCCAGGTCTAAAAATCTATTAGAAATAAAAAAGAAGTAACAAAAAATGGAAATTGAATGAAGAAAGTAAAGAAAATCACTGAATAGATTCCAGAATTCAAAGAACTAGAACTTCAATTCTCAATCGATCAGATTCCAATCAAGCCAATAGTTAGTTGAATTTACACTAATCACAATCAACAGATAATTTAAATTTCTCTCACAATGAGACCATTTAACAAATTAAGGAAATCACACTTTTCAATGATGAGTTTCACTACCAAACACTTTATGTGATACCTTCTGGTTGGATCTTCTGAGTCACATCTTGGAATAAATTTTGAAAGAAACAACAGAAAATTGATTAAATAGTCTCATTAGAATCGCCGAGTGTTAATTATTCAAAAAATATATAAATCAATTGATTAATTGTGGAATTGCGTTGAAATTATGATGAGAAAATAGAGAAGAAAAAAAGATGACCCGAAATCAATTTTGCTCTCGGAAAAGAATTGATAGAAAATCAAATTTACCGCTGATACTTTATTCTTATTGAAGATATGTAATCCATGTGAGTATCTAAATCCGATACAAGAAAAAGTTTCAATTTGAAAGTTTCAAACTCAATTTGGACTCGATTAATTCTTTGTCTTGATTAACTTTGATTAAGACTAATATTTCATTGGTTGACAGAAATTGAAAAGTCCAATACAGGGGTGGAGAGAATCATTTGAGCCAAATTAAAACGTTAATTTTATAAAGCACAATCAAGTTTAAGAAAATTTTTTCAGCAATTCGCATAGAATATTTAGTTGTCTTTAAATTGACGTTAAATTTGAGTGGCTTTGGACATGAATTCGAAAAAAAATTTCGAATTTTCGAAAACACTAAAAATTGAAAAATTGCAAAAATGTTATTTTTTGACTAAAATGAAAAATCGAAAATTTTTATCTTTCGATTTTCGATTTCGAAAGCATGTCCATCTTATTCTCCGTGTATGAAAACAGATATTCATCAAGTTTTTTTTCGAAAAAACCTAACCAATTTCGAAATATTCGAAAAAAACTAAAAATTTGCGACGAAAAACCCGAAAATCTTGTAATTTCACGTTTTTCAGTGTTTTCGAAAATTTGAATTTTTCGATCGATTTTTTTTCAGAAAATTTTCAAAATTGATAGTTTTCTACTCAGAATTAAATTCTCTATCTTAAACATGGAAAATAATTGATTTGCTATGATTAATATTCAAGAAATTAATGATTAAATTTGGCTCAAATCTTTCTCTCCACACCTGTAAGTGAACATTATAAGATAATTGATAAGCTCGATTAGTAACAATTGGAAAAAAAATAATTACAATCATATGAAAAATAATCTTTTTGCTAATTTAATCATTGGTTATTGTTAATTGTGATTATCTAACTTTACTTAATTGTACAATGATTCCAACACTTAACATGAGATTATTATCATGGTAAACAAAGATAAAGGATTAACTTTTTCTATTATATTTTGAGTTTTTAGTTGATGAGAAAAGTTAATCAATTGATGATAATGATTTAAGTTAAATTAATTGTTTGGTGGTATGATTGTTACATTTTATTGGTTATTCATCTGATTGTTTTGTCACCTTTGTATACAAATGATTAATCACAAATAACATCAAGATAATTATTTATTCATTTGTTCCAGATAACTGATTAGATTCAGTTAATTGTTATCGTAAAGTTTAAACATTTGAACAACTTTAATTGTCATTTTCATCTCGATTATATTATATTTTATTTTATTTTTAATCCAATGATCAAGTGTCTAGAGGTTAATTGAAAGTCAAGTTGCTGTCTAATTGTTGGTTGTTACAGAGATTGACAATATTTATCTTGTTTACTTTGATTGTTTATGTTGGTCAACAATTTCAATCAACTTTTCATTCAAATTATTGTAACTTTGAGTCTCTCTGATTTTCTTGCTAATTGATTGGATCCTTTCTGCCAATTTATGATCAGCCAAAGTTTCATCGATCGCCGAAAGTAATTCATCGCTAGTTACTCGAAGTGGATGGAAACTCTTGGCGAGTTTTTTATCAATCACTCGACGACCATTATCATGTTGATCACCAAACAAAGGTAAAACCATGAAAGGTTTACCAAAGTAAAGAGTCTCAACCAAACTGTTGTTACCTCCATGGTGAATTACCATGTCCACTCGAGGCATAATCTTCATTTGATTTAGAAATTGGCTACCGGTCATATTTGCTGGTAGTTTAATCTTATCATGATGAATACCCATGGATACAATGAACTTGTGTTTAGATGAAGCAAGAATATCAATCAATCGGGTTAATAGTTGATAGTTGGATGTTCCCAGAGAGCCAAGAGTAAATAAAATTACTTTGCTTTCGGTGTTGAAAAAGTCTTCACTGATTCCAAGAGGAGCAGCATTATCCTCAATCCGAACCATGTGATCTAGACGGAACCATTTATCGGGAACTGGACCAAATTCTGAATAGTCCAAATCCTCTGGATATGAGTACAGATTAAGATAAGGTGATCTACCCAGAACAGTGAAATCAAGATAATCCAAAGTTTCCATGTCAAGACCTTCACTGGAAAAGTAATGATTAAACTTGACCACGATCTCTTTCATACAATCTTTGAGATCATCTCGAAATCGTTGAATCTTTTCCGGACCATCGTCGATTCCAAGTCCAGATGAATAAGATGGACCACCGACTTTCCAATAAGGTAAAGTTGGACTACAAGACCATAGTAACATATAAGGTACTCCATGTTTAACGATTGCTGGTACCGTAGTCCAATGGTCAAAAATGATCAGATCTGGATTGATCTTGGTCAACAATTTCTCGTATTGTTCATTACATTTGATCAAAAATTCGAGGAAATAATCGTGCATTGGAACATTTAAATGCTTGAACTTATCCAATGGTTCCATTTCATAAGTTTCATTTCGCTTATCCATAAAAGTACCAAATCCCGACTGTGGATCGACATCCTTTTCATATCCAGAGATCTGAACCGATTCAATAGCAAAACCATTGCCTTGGACCGTCTTAATCCAATTCGTTGGGACGATAAAAGAAATCTCATGCCCAAAGGGCATCAAATTTCTGGCCAGTCCAACACATGAATTCACATGACCATAGCTACCAAAATTCAATGACAGAATTCATGTTAACAAAAAATGAAAACTTGGACTTTAAATGTAACAATAAATGTACTTACGCATCCATAGGAATGAAAACAATTTTCATCTTGAGTTCGCTTTGAAAACAACTATTCCTTTGTATAACTAATAACAATCAACTAATTGCTTGGAATGCAGAATGTTAATTGTGTTTGGTACAGTCAGACCTCTCATATTTAAACGAAACGGGTGGGTGAACCAGTAGATGTCACTAGTCAGAATTGAAGAGAAAAAGTTCCGCAAGATTTGAAAAAAATCAACTTTAATAATTATGATCGACCAGAGATGGAATATTGTAAGAATTAGTATTCAAATTACTAAGACCAACATGTGCCCAACAATTAACAATTGTGTCAGATTTTACATCCTGCCAAGCAAGATTAGCAATTCTAATAACTTTTAAAATATCAAATCGTTTTACCTCTTGTCTATTCCAAGATCCAATAGATGGAGCGTTTCGTTTAAATATGAGAGCGTTCAAATATGAAAGTGTTAAAATATGAATTTTTTAGCTCCTGATAAACTTTAATTTAATTAACTTTACCTGTGAATTTAAAATTGAATTTTATGTTATTATTATTTATCTTATCATACGGATCAAGTTGATACCAAAATTATGATAGTTCAACAGTTACTTTAGTTATTTTTGTTACTCTAAAAACTGAGCTATTATTGCGTCGTAATAACTTGAACCATTTTCTTTTCTTGGTAAGTTTTGTTGATAATCTGATTCAATTTTCTTTTCTATTTCTTTGATTAGATTGAAATTTAATTTTATTTGTTTATTATTATTTCTTTTTTTCGTTTCATACTTAATGAGTTAACCGTTTTTTGACTTTGGACAATCAAACTAACCACTCAATTAATAATATTTATAAAAGCCTAATGGATTTGTATTGAAAGGACTCTAGTCCATTTGTTTTGAAAGGACATTTTGTCCATTTATTTTGAAAGGACATTTTGTCCATTGTGACTAAATTATATTTTAAATTTTATCTCAAATTTGTATTCGGCCTCAGGGAGAAAATTGTTAATTATTGTATTGTTTCTTTTCCTCATCAATTATTCCTTCCTTGTCCCTCTTTCCCCTTTCCCTGGTACGGTCGTCATTACCGGAAACGATGAATTTTAATTCATCGAAGCCTCCCCTGAGGCCGCTGTTAAAGCTTAAAATAAATAAATATGAGAGGTCTGACTGTAAACGTTTTTACTTTCACAATTTAATTCTCTCTAGGTATCGGCTCAGTCGCCATCTAGAGGAATCTAAATTGTTAGTTAAATACAAATAAATCGCAATCAACCAAAGATTATAAGTTTCTAGACAAATCTTTTCATAACGAATCAAAATCAATACTTATCAACATTTCAATCATTATGAATTAGTTAAATATTGATGTTCGAATATAAAAAAGTTAATTTCATTAGATGAATATTACTTATAGAACCTAAACTAATCAGAATCGAATCAACAAAGTGACAAGAACATAAGCTAATCCTGTTCGAAAAAGAAAATGATAATCATAAATTAATATTTTAAGAAGATTAATCTACTTTAAGTGCCATTGTACTTGATTTTCTGCTGAATTCTAACCCGATTTTATAACCGTAATTATGAAAAATGGGAAGAAATTTTATCGAAAATTATCTTCGAACTAATATTCACTCAGATTAGGTCGAAAATCAAATTATTACTCAAATGATTAAAGTTAAAAATCTTTCAATTGGTAGATTGGTACAATAATTAATTTCAATTTCCATCATGAAGAATTGTTATTGACTGATTGTTATTGATTGAAAGTTTTTGGCACAAAAAGTGACACTAATTGTTTAAACCGCAATAAGATGAGCAATTAAATTTAACATTAAACAATAATTTACTATTTTTATTGATGAACTTTAAGAAGAAATTAAATTGAAATTTTTGATTGTTCATTTATTAGATATTATTATTCACCGCAAAGTTAATTATTGAACAAGAGAGACCACAATTTAGATCAATTAAGATTTCATCTACCGGATGGACGACAATAGGCTCGAAGTTCATCAAAAGAACACGATTTTTTGCAACATTCATCTGAAGCACCTCGAACATTTCGAAAGAAAATTTGATTGTCATTGTTAACTGATCGCTTACTTGTACCAAATAATGAAAGAGCTGCTCTGGTGTCCATGAAATCGTCAGATTCTGAATCATTATCTTCAAGATTAAACTTTGAGTGTAGAGACCAAGGTCTAAGTTCTGTAAGAATTATAATCAAACGATTGGAAATTAGTTATATCATCATCACCATCATGGAGAAGAAAAAAGAAATTAAATCAATCTAACCTTTTGATGTCCAGGATTCATCATGATAATTACGTTTACCAGGCATCGAACCAGAACAAACTAATTGAATTAAGTTCATCAGATTACGTCCACAAGTTCTAACTTTTTGGGATCGAAGTGCACGTTGATTAATATACTCTGAGCCAGAATTTGATTGTGGATACGAATAAATCAGTGGGAGTAGAGTAATTAGTAAAATAATGATAGAGCATTGAGAATATAACCAACGAGTAATTTGAATCATCTAAGGATCAAGAAATTAAACATTTAAAGAAAAACAAAATAATTTATTTCATATTTCATATTTTCTTCATTGAATAATAATAATAGTAATCAATTTGAAATTGAACCTTTTACCTTTAGTAATTAAGTTCCTAAATTGTTATCTGGATAAATATAGAGATGAAATTGACGATAATAGATATATTGATAAATCCAATGATTAACACTCACAATTAATACACAATTTGATTGATTGAATCACAAACACATATTCAGATATTAAATGAAGATAATAAATGATAACACTTGACAATTAACGGTTTAGTTGTTGATGTTTAATTGGTGGCTGATCAATTTATAATGAATTGATACATAGATTAATTTAATATAAATATCTAACCAAAGCTCTCAAAAACTTTATAAAACTGAAGGTGATGAGACAAAAAAGTTTCCACTCTCACTCTCAGAATAACTCATTCCACCCACCATGATTGGGGTGGCCTTTCCCTGCGTCATTTACAATGGTTGTATTAATTTTTGACAGATGACGCATAATTGTCATTCTCATAACTTGATTAGCTTTGACACCTCACCTACAATTAATTGTGAATGAGCAGCTAATCAGACAGATATTGATGATGTTACAACCGGAACAACAGATTAGTCTCACTCCTTAAAGTTAATCCTTTTTTTTTAAAAAGAAAAGTTGATCTGTGGAAATATTAATCCAAATTGTAACTATTAACCTTGATTTGGATCATTTGATTGGAAATTAATCACATCAACGAGTTATTGATAATGATCAATACAGTCTTAGATCGATATATAAGGTTCTAATTTTTTTTCGAAAACTTTGATTCGTTCATCAGAATTTGATAGGAAAGAATTAGTTTCTTAAGTTAGTTTTTCTTTGAGTAGAATTTTTTTCTCGAGCGAAAAATTCATTCTTGAAATGTTTCATAATGTTAATTAAACGAATCAAACGAAGTTTCAATCAATTTACTTTAATTTTTGATCGATTAGTTAAATTATAAGGTTTTACAAAGATTGTGATTAACTCGTGAAACTAATACAAAGATTTGAACATTAAGGTGAACAGTTTATTTATTTTTATAAGTTCGAGATTGAGAATGCGTTTTCTAGTTCGTTTAGTATCAAATCAATATTCAATTTGTGCTGGAAATGTTTTCAATTGTTAGCCAATTGATTGTTCATTTTGTCTTGAATCTGAAAGAGTAAAGTTTAGTTGTAGTAGAAGAGCTCATTGGGTAGAGAAGAAAGTTCCAAATCTTTTTACGTTTGGGTGAGCTATTGTCCGAACAGATAGCTGATAGTAATGAAAATTATTCTCATTCAGAATCGAGCAATTTCTTGAGTCTTTCATTTTCATCTCGAAGATTTTGTAAAGATAATCGAAGAGATTCATTCTCTTTCTCCAGGTAACTCGCTCGAAGGACAATCTGATTCTCTTTCAGTCGACGAGCCTCTCTAGATCTTTTAGCAGCCATATTATTCTTACTTCGACGAGCCCAATATCGAGCATCTTTCAATGTATCAGGTACATGCTGTTTACGTGATTTTCTCATTATTGGTTGAGGACGAAGTTCATTTTCACTGAATCGAGCATTGGAAGGGTCAAAACTTGCTTCGCTTCCAGGTAGAGTGGCCAAGGCAATATCCAAAGAGCTATAAATAACATCAAATAGTAAACATACAAAATTCTGAGCATATTCAATGAATCATATGAAAAGAAAAATATTAATACTCAGACTGAATAATGAATACATTAAAATTGAAAACCTGAGAAGAAAATTTCACATCGAAGAAACTTAATTATCAATCGGCTTATTGTAATTCCAATCAAATATGATTAAATTGTTGTAATCGTATTGTTTTTGATGATATTACAATAAACATTTACATAAACAATGGTTAATAAATCATTAAATCATTTAATCATAAACATGAAAAATAATATTTTCACCGAAAATCATAAACATCATTTAATGATAATCATAAATTGAAAAATTAATTGATAAATTATTTGATAATAATAAAAATATCACATATTATATGAGATGAATACTCATCCCTAAGGGTTTGATTTGATTTTTGAGTAAAAATTTTAATTCACTGTTAACCTTATTGTTGTTATTAATTTTTTGTTAGCAAATTAAATTTAATCCAATTGAGAATCGGTTGTTTTTCATTAATACAATTTAATGAATACAAACAATATTAAAGTAAACAGAGTAAATCAAAGTTGCAATACAATTAATTGGGTAAACATTGAAGTTGAATGTTGAGTTAATTTGATTTTGTTTATCTCTTTGATCATAATCAACTAGTTGGAAAATATTTTTTTCGTTAATCAGTGTAAATAAATGAAGATTTTGATATTTACCTGAATTCAATGTTAATTTTTTGCTCCTCTTTAATGATATTCATGTAATTGTAATCAACTCCATTCTCAATGAGAAACTCGTCCAGATTCATTAAGTAACTGCCATTGCTACAACTCTAAATTGTTGTAATCATCATAATCAATGATTAAATAGAAAAATAAATGAAAAACAAAAAGATATTAGATTGATTAAGTTAAATTGTTTGGAATGGTGAAAAAAGTAGCAATCAATGATTATTTCAATTGTCTCAATCACAAGAAAATCAATTAATATTAGCATCGAAAGCTTAATTGTTACACTTTTAACAATATGTAAAAAAAAGATGTCCTTAATTGTGATAAATTATAAATGTTATTTGAAAGATATGAGAAACTGTTTAAATTGATTGATTGATTGACTGAATGGATTAGTTGATTGATGATTAAAATTAGTCAAGAATGAATTAAGATAATAAATCAATCCCACCTCAGTTTTATCGATATAATTTTTCATTTTTGATGATGTTTTTTACTTTGTTGTGATTTGTAAATTGTTGATTAAAAATGAAACTGTTTAGATGAGATTAGAGTCTAGAATGATCAATATAATAGGTAAAAAAAGAGATGAGGATGGAGATGAAGATGAAGATGAAGATGGAGATGATGAGGGTAAAGAAAGATGGAGAGAGAGAGAGATCAATTGATTTTAAACGTGATTATTGGTTAGTTCAATGAGAAAATGAGAGAGAGAGCAAAAAGTCACGTTGATTTGATGATAATCACAATTTAAGTGACATTTAGAGGTTCTTGATAGAGATGAAGTAAGATAATTAGGTTGATCTCTTTCTTTTAAAAATCGTTCTAAGATTATAAATGTTTACCTTGTGCCTTTGACCTGTGAAAATTTCCTCCGATTCTGGATTATCTCTAATTCATTGGATTTATGATCAAGTTAATGTTAACCAAGATAATTCGTATTATTAATACTAATATTTGAAAAGTTCTGTTGCTCTTGGAACTCCGGGATTCTGATGGATAAAATGTTCTCGTTGTGTCCATTATCTTTAATTATGGTGTTTTCTTTTTCTCTCTCAATTCATTTGCAATCACATGTTGATGAGATGTGATCATCATCTTGTCTTGATTTTTGGTTCCATTTTGCTTTTCAAAATTGATCAATTTCACCCTTGTAATTGTTAACCAACTTGAGGTGATAAAAGTTTAGATTCATCGGTTGATTGTTTGATTCTTATGGATTCATTCACATTTTCCTGAGAAGAGTTAGATTTTTTTTTCGTCTTCAGCAATCAGTCACTGGATTGATTATTATTATTATTATTAACCCTGATGCCAATTAAATTTAATTCACTTGGAAAAATAAATCAATCGATAAGCCAAAAAGATAAATGAAAACACCATCACAATCACTTTTCATCTATAACTATGTTTCCTTTTACTTTCAAAGTTAACTGTCAATCCAATCAAACCAATTTGATGCAACCTAATTATATACAAAGAAATGGACAAGACATGATTAATTGTGTGAATTAAATATTAAAATTAACTATAATACTTACATGATATTAATAAGATCCAATTAAGCTTAACAACAATAGGAAAAGCCAAAGAGGAAAACAAAAACAAAACTGTAACCATAGATTTCTCAAGTCAATTTTAAATTAGAAAGTCAAGATTGATGGACCATCATTGTAGGTGAATATCAATTTTTGGAAATACAGGAAAGAGTTGACCTTTCATGGGAATGAACACAATTAAGGAATCTAAATGAATCTAAAAAAAGACACAAAATTAATTAATAGAAATACAATTACAATTTGTTAAGGTGAACCGATCAGGATTCAAATTGATTTGAATTGTTGATTTTCTGGTCACATTGGGTTACCATTAATTACCAAATCAATTGATTGTTAAAAAGGATAATTAAAAGATTATAATTAGGGTTTAGAATTCACAATTAGAAATTAAATTAAAGGTAAACAATCAACGAAAATAAAGAGAAAAGAAAATGTTATTTGAATTAAGTTTCGTTTTCTTTTCATTGGTTGTTTGTTTACCAATCGTTTCTCTTTCTTTTTCTCTTTCTTTTTCTCTTTCTTTTTGGTTTGTTTGTTGTGGATTTTTATTACCACCGGTTTGTTGTTCAATCGTTTAGTCATTTTTTTTTACTTTCAATTGTTTAGTTAATTAGTTACAAGAACAATTTACTCTTAATTAGAGGGAGAGGGAGAAGGTTAAAAAATTTTAATTTGGTGTTAATTCATTTTCTGTGATACTTAAAAGGTAAAATTTATGTGAATGAGAAAAAAAATTCTCTGTTCTTTTCTCTCTCTCTCTCTCTTCCTATCTTATGAATTCTTCCCTTATGTTTTGTGTTTTCTTGGTTTTCTTACCTTCAAAATGATCTTCTCATGGAAAGGATAATCTAATCATCTCACTAATCCACATCTTCATTCTCTTAATTTAATCTTCAATTACTCTAATCTTGATTGGACTCATCATTTTGGAATAATTTTCATCATTCCATTCAAATTAGAATTGGAGTTACATTATCCAATATCCAACGTCATCTTTTTTTTCTCTCTCACTCTTGAAAAGAAAAAGCTTATCGACTCATTGAGACTCATTTGTTTGAGAAAATCTTTGTAATTAACTGATTTATTTGATTGTCATCATCAAAAATGGTTCACAGTCACGATATTCATAAGGTTAATCTATCAGCCTTAAGTGAAGAAGAGCGAAATCACATTCTTTTCCATGAGAAACACCGAGGACATGAAGGTATGCATGCGATGATGCTATTGGTACTAATTGTGGCCACTTTTTCCGTTCAAATTGGTCTGATTGCTTGGAAAAAGCGTCACATGAAAAGTTATCAAAATTTTTCAATGTTCGCCATGTGGCTATTACCAATTGGTATTTCCATACACAACTCATGGTGGCGATTTGTTGGCATTTGGGCCTCATTAACAATTCTCACTGTAGCCTTCATTTGGAAACCTTTGGTTAACAATAAGATGAGCGGATCAACCCCACGAATGATTTATAAATGGTTCTACTATTTATACTCCATCTCATCGGTAATCGCTGTCACAGGCTACATTATTGTTATGTGTACTTTTTTAGGTGAGTTTCATATTTTCCTCCAATGTAAACATCGTAATTCAATCTTTAATAATCTTAATCATTTATCTACTTTTTAGGTTTAAATTTAATGTTTGGAATCAAACCGCAAATACCTTTGGATATTGGTATTATGTTTCTATTTTATGGTATCTATTGGGGAGTCTTGACACGAGATTTTACCGATTTTCTTGTCGACATTTTAACTGCCAACATTGGTTACTATCAGCCTTCATCATCACTTCCCTCTAAACAATTAAAAAGCTCAATATGTGCAATTTGCGGTCGAAGTCACGATGGCCTAGTAGATGCAGTTGATTCTTCATTAAGTTATGATGATACCTTTGAACAAGAGAGATGTTTTACTCTCTCATGTGGCCATAAATACCACGAATATTGTATCTATGGTTGGTGTTTAGTGGGTAAAAAGCAAATCTGTCCCTTTTGTCGTGAAAAAGTGGACACTCAGAAACTTTTCGCTTCCCTACCTTTCCAAAAACCGCACTATTTATACGGTAATCTATTGGACTTTATTCGTTACCTTGTGGCCTGGCAGCCTTTAATACTATTGGCAGTACAAGGTATAAATTATTTCCTTGGACTTGAATAATATCTAATTATAGTTTAAAGAAGAGGAAAAACTAATCAACTAATCAAAGGAATCGAAGACACCAAACAACGAGTTTAAAAAATCACATTAGTGATAATTTTGTACCTAAACTTGTCTTATACCTTAAAATGTACAATAATTGTAACGGTTTAAACAAAAAGAGAGACATTTCTATCAATGGAAACAAATTATATGTGTAAAGAAAAACATCTCAATACAATTTCCTTACACATTCTGAACTTTATTCAGAACTTTGTTTGTATATTAGTGCAATTTCAAAGAGAGATAAATAATTTTCTTATTACTTATTCAAATGTAAACACAATTTATAACAATTAACTTTTCTTTGATCTCCATGTATCAATTGATTCCAACAAACTGAGAACCATCATCAATTATTTGACATGTGATTGGAAAGATTGAAACCTGAAATCGACGAATCTGCCAACGCATAGATCTAAGGACAATGGAGGAAACAATTAAAGCCACAATTTAAGGAGATTCATTCAATTACTTACCAAAAAGTATTCATCCAAATTGATCGTGCTGACGTTAACGAAAATGATCCTAATGAGATGGATAAGCGAATGTGTCAACAATATTATAACATGGATCATGGTTGGAATACATTTAATCAACCAAGAGGAAGTTGTGACCTTACCTTTCATTTCCGTTCTGGTGTTCAAATAGACTCTCTCCTTTACCTTTTACATCACGAACAGAAATACCTTTAGTTTGGTCGAGAATCAGAAATAGTTCAGTTTCATGGGAAAGCCAAAAAGAGTTGATTATGGTTGAATATCCAGTATCTTCGGTTAACCAGATTCGTATTGGAAATTGATATTTAATTGAGAAAAGGCAAATCGATCCATCCATGTAGCCGACGAGAAATGATTCACTTTCAGGATTAGGATGATGAGAAATACAAGTAACCGGATGATACATTTCATCTGAGAAATAAGTGTATTTAATTACTTCCATTGGGTCAGCAGAATTTTCCAGATACTTCGAATATCGATAAATTGAACCTAAATTGGTTCCAATTAGATAATTCCAAGAATCAGTTGGTGAACAATCAATGCAAGTGATTGAACTTTCAGAATTTCCAATGTAACTGGTCGGTAAATTGACGACCATTGAAATTTGAAGTCTAATACAACTTCCTGGTCTCAAGCCAATGGTTACTTGTTGTAAGGCCGATAAATCGTCAACATAAGATTCAACAATTAACCAAACAATTATCTTCCCACTTTCATCAAGTGAAACAATTCTTTTCGCTTCCGTATCATCATTAACTTCAAATCTGTAAAATAATTGTAAGATTGGTGCTTGATGGTAATCAGTGTGTTTACCAATCGCTGTTGTAAATGAAGGATTTCTCAATGTTAGATCAGTACTGATCAAGAGCAATTTGTTCACTTGACTGTGTTGATGTGAGGGTTCCCTTAAATCCCAGGCCACGAGTGAACCATCAACGGAACCAGCGATTATTAGGAATTCATTGTCAGTAATAACTTTGGTACAATTAAATTTACAGTGTAACAAATATTCACATTTTCGAGGTTCTAACAAGTTCCATACCAATATTAACGATCCAAAGAACTTATTTCCGTCAACAGAACCATAATTAGTGACCACATAAACGTATCGACTATCGGTCACAACACTATTGATCTGAAAGTGTTTATAATCATCAGGAAGGTGATAAGAGATGATTAAATTGTTTGGCTCTAATCCATAGCTCGGAATTTTTGGTGGATACATTGACCCAGAATTGTCGATAATAGGATGACCATTGGTACTTGAATAGGAAAAGGTTTTACTCGATATAAGATTTTTAGTTATCTTTTCACCGATTTCAAGAAAATGGGACAATCTAAGAATATCAATATTATCGATTGGCGTGGGATTGGATGGACCATCAGCAAGATTCGAACGAGCTGGACATTGGATATTCTTATGAGTTGAATTGATTTCATCTGATTGACATGAAGATTCAGAAGTTTCCACTGTTTGAATAGCGATTGTATTAACATTATCAGGACCGAGTAAATGTTTCAAGAGATTATTTGTTCTTAAAGAATCATCGAGATTTGAATTCTCGATTTGCTTTGATTTCATTGATTCGGATTCTTTTTGATTCTGTAAAGAATCATCAATGATTTTATTACCATCAACCTTTATTGTCGGAGGCGGTAAAGTGATTTCCCATCTAATTATTGACGGTTCTTTTGAATCAGTTGATTGTTCACTAGATTTCAGATTTTCAGTCTTTGCAATTGATTTCGGCTTAGTCAAGCTAGATAATGAAATTACGGGCGAATCCAATGAGCCTAAGGACGAGTCCTTATCGTTGGGTGTCTTCATTTCATTGTCACTTTCGTACTCTTCAAAATCAGATTCATAATCCTCGAAATCATCTGAATAATCAGCTTCTGTCACTTCTTCGATATCATTAGTACTTTCATGGCCACTCAGCGAATTGTCAGTTTCAACTTTATCCAATGTCGAACTTGTAATATTCTGTTTTCTTTCTACAAACTGTTAGAAAAAAATAATAATAAGAATTTCAATTTGAAAGAATATCAAAGATTCGAATAGAAGAAATTTCTACCTTTTCCGTTTCTATTTCTTGTTGTTGATTAACTAATTGATTTGATTTGATTAGACTGTTGGAAGAGCTACCATGGGTTCGATTAGCAGTTCCTGGTCTAATTGATTTATTTTCTGATTCATCTTTTCCTGATTGTAGCTCATCTGATGGACGTTGATGATAATCATCAGGTTTGACAATCTTTAAATCTTGAGTTGATTTCTTTTTACTCGAATCATCATTTAATTTGATTACTGATTTCTCCAAACTTGATCGTGATTTAGTCGCTGTCTTAGTTTCAATTCGAGACAATCGTCTCTCATTTAATTTTCCAGTTACACCAGAACCAGTGATCGATGATTTCGATGTGATCTTTGAATTGGAAACATTGGATTTCGCTGGAATCGTTGTTTTCACCGTTGGTCGAACCTTAATCGACGATGTTGGCGTTTTAGTCGAAACCGTTAATTTAGATGAAGATTTAACTGGAATCTTCTCATTGGTTGAAATTTTATCCTTCGTCACATTTGATATTGTAATTCTAGAAGATACTCGAGAATCGATTTTACCATTAGCACCAACTATCGTTTTCCTATTAGTTGGTACACTCGTTTTGGTTACCTGGACATTTGAGTTGTTCTTAACTACTTTAGAGGTTCGACTGGTTTTCTCTGACCTTGAAAAATGTAAAACTAAATTAATTTTCTTCAAGGAAACTCAAGAATTAAAATTACATCATAAATGAACTTACATTTATTATTATCTCCGAGAATCGAATCACATTTAACAACAATTACCTGACAATCTACCTGTCAAAGCTCATCGTCCATTTCATGTTGACAAATCATTTGTTTTGTTTTCATTCAAAAATTCATCACGATGGTGATCAACTAATTCATTGCTCATGCTGATAAATCATGATTGCTGATTAGGTTCGAACACCAATAATAATAATAACCTCAAAGGCGAGAAAGAAAAAAAGTCGAGTCAATTAATTAGTTAATTACCCTGATAGAAAATCGTAAATTTCAAGTCCAATTGATCATTTGATTTGATCATTTCAGATTCATTATGAAACTCAATTGTAATCAGAAATTTTGTTTCACTTTCTAAGATTTACTTTCCATTAAATCTCATGTATAGTCTTTGGTAATTTAATTGTTACAACCATTGGAACAATTAAAAAAAAAGGTTAACCATTTGCTGTATTCCTATTGTTCCTATTGAATTTTTCCAATCGATTATTAGTCATAAATTGGCTCTGATGATTGTTACCCTTTTTATTAAACTATTAATAAATTACTACCTTTTGGATTGAAAAAGGAAATTAATTGTTGAGTAATAAAAGTAAAACAATCAATTGTTGGCAATTAAAGTACAAACCCTAAGGTGAGTTCTCAATCACCTGAGTGAGTTTGTTTTCATTTCTGTCAAATTTCTTTAAATTAGTAAACATTTAATTTGATTACTTTTCTCCTTTAAATTGTTTATTTTCCATAATTTGTAACCAATTTAAGAAGATTTTTAATTGCCAGTTTAATTACTAGTGTTGATTTGTTTCTCTTCTGGTTGAACATCAAGATCTATCTTTGTGTAAACAATCACTTCTCTTTTCTTTCTGAGCTTTTTTTCTCTATTATTTTTTTTCTCTATTCTCATTTACTCATATACTTTTTTTGTTCGTTTTTTTTTCATGGTGTTTTGTGTTTAAATCTTTTCTTTTCTCTGAGTTGAGAGCTATTATTTACCTCCACCGTCATCACCAGCCGCCTCTCTCTCTTTACTTTGCACCATAATCTTTATATCTGAGGCCTAAATAAGAGAAAATTAAACCTGATGCCAATAAGCAAGGACATAAGTGCTTTAGAGTTGAAAGAACAGGGCAATAAATTGTTCAGTCATCAAAAGTACCAAGAAGCCCTTGATTATTATTCCCGTGCCATCTCATGTGATCCAGCAGATTCCAAGTATTTCACCAATCGTGCCCTGTGTTACCTTAAACTCCAACAATGGGAATTATCTTTAAAAGATGCTCGTAGAGCCTTAGACATGGACCCGAATTCAATAAAGGGTCACTTTTTCCTTGGTTCAGCTTTACTCGAAGTTGAAGCTTATGATGACGCCATTAAACATTTACAACGAGCCTCTGATTTGGCTAGAGAGCAGAAGAAAAATTTTGGTGATGAAATCGCTTCACAGTTAAGGTTGGCTCGAAAACGGCGATGGAATCAATTGGAAGAAAAGAGAATCAAGGAAGAAATTGAACTACAAACCTATCTAAATGATCTCATTAAAAAGGACAAAGAAAGACAATTAGAAGAGGCTCGAACAACAACCAAAGATGATGAAAAATTGGCTTTAATTGAGAATCAAGTTGAAGCCAAAAGTCACCAACATGTATCAGAATTGAATGCGCTTTTCAGCCAACTTGATACTAGAAGGCGAAAGCGAGATATTCCCGATTATCTTTGTGGTAAAATTAGCTTCGAGGTGATGATGGATCCAGTTATCACTCCCAGTGGGATAACCTATGATCGTAAGGTAATTGAAGAGCATCTTCAACGTGTTGGACACTTTGATCCGATCACTCGAACCCCGTTAACCGCTGAACAGCTTATACCCAATTTGGCCATGAAAGAAGTGATCGATACTTTTCTCGCTGAAAATGATTGGGTAACCGAGTGTTAAACTAATCAAATTAAAAACCAAACTGTGTTACAATTAAAGTGTAACCGTGAAAATTAAATCACAACACACAAAGACAAACATATATTACTACCAAACAATTTATCGCCTTTTCCTTCAACATTTACTGTGACATTGAGAAAACCAAAACAAACGCTTCTGTAAAGAAAACTTTCCTTTCTATTATCATAATTAACTAATTTGTTCCCTTAATTTTTTTCACCCTTATTATATACTTTTCATCATCAATCAAATATCACTGTAATTGACTGATTTTTTTTTCTTCTCTTTGTTTCAATTTTTTTTTCTAAAAAAATTCATCTACCCTTTGAATGTAATAATGTAATAATATTAAAATATAATTCTGCTTTTTAATTACTCTTTCTGAACATTTCAACTCTTGAAGAAAAAAAAAATTCACTAAATTCATTTAATTCAATTGTTCACCTTGAATATGTGAATGTGTTTACCTGTCGAATGATTTAACTCTTGAAGATTTAATCGAAATTAGAATTAAAAGTTTGTATGTAAACAAATTAGAATTGTTGATGTAGTGACATTTCCCATTCGTAACAGTTGATTGGTGTTGTGATTATCTTTTAACAGGCCAAGTGTATTTAATCAACATTTTGATAAGTTAATTAGTCAATTGTGTAAAATACAAATTAAAACAGAAAAATACAATTCACGGGATAAAAATATAATTAAGTTGTATGTGTGTATAGAAATTAAAGTAGTTATAAAGAAATTTTCTCTTATATAAATGAAAAAGAGGAAAACAATAACTGTCTCAATGGATTAGATAAAGAGGTGGCAGCGGCGGTGGAGATGACGACGGCGACGGATTTAGAGAGAAAGTATAATTAGTGACAAGTTTCCTATAAGATGATGATCATGACGATGATGATTAATTTAAAATAAAATGAATTTTGTTTTTATCAAAAAGATGAAATGTAAGTTGTTGAGAGAAAGCGTCGGTGTTGTCTTTTCCATTTGAGCAACAATTAAGAGAGACAGAGAGCTAGAGAAGGGCAGATATTGGAGCATAGTGATTAGTTGATTGGTGGAAGGAATTTAAAAGATAAATTCTAATTAAGTTGAGAAAATGGCAATGATAATGGACTCCTATCTTTCAAGTCTTTTTGAAATTCAGTAATAATAACAGTAACATTGTTGACAGTTACAGCTTCAGATGAGAAATTATTACTTATATTGCTAGATGAACTAGACTTGATATTGTTGGTGTTGTTGTTGTGGTTGTGGTTGTTGTTGTTGTTATTGTTCACGATGGTGTTGCTTTTAATGTGACTATTACTGGTTCCAAGTGAGTTACCATCATGGTTTAAATTTTTTCGGTGTTTATTTTGCTTGTGGGAAGATGAGTGTCTCTTTGTTTCAGGCCCAGAATCGCTGTCCACTCGACCGCTGCTCTTTTCCATTTCCTTCTTTAATTGGATCATTAATCTTTTCTCTAGAATTATGATCGCCATCTTTATCTCGTCCGTCTCGACTTCCATCTCGGCTTCCTTCTCTACTCTCCCTTCCACTACCATTGCCATCTTTGGTTCGTCCATGTGATATTTTCAACAATAAGTGTTGCTGTTGTCGAGCAACTTGCTGAGCCACCAGTTCAGGATTAATTCTTGGCTTACGGGTACTGGTTCCTTTTCGAACATCACACATTAAACATTTAAAAGCTTCGGCAGGATTCTTATAAGTACAAACGGTACAGTCCCATGTATTCTCATCTTCCCGATTGTTACCACCACCACCACCTTCCGCCATCTTATCCATTGGTTCAGCTTCAATTTTTTCATTCTTTTCTTTTTCTTTTGTTACCTTTTTGTCACGTTTACGTTGAGATTTAGTTACCTTACCACTAATGCTTCCACTACCACTACCACCTGTAGCATTAGAATTATCTGGAGATGAATCTCTTGCTGGGGGTGTTGAGGGCCTAGATTCCTTGTTAGCCATAGAATAAATAAAAATTAATATCACATAGGTGAGTTGAAAAG